ACCCCCACGGGTCCTTGTGCCTCTTGAACGATCTGATTTTGGAGCCCTAACTAAGCCCATTTGCAGCAGTCGGGACACCACAACCTCCCTTTACTGCCTTTTCTTTCCCACTCCCTCCTTTTCTCCACCTTCCTACTTCGAGCCCTTTGAATGCAATCCCCCCAGAGGAGAAGCCAGAAGCCAGGTAGGAATTGTGCCCTCTCCCCACCTTGCTTTCCCCTCTTAGCAGCCGCCCCTCCCTCCCTCCCTCCCTCCTGGTGTTACCCCCTTCGAGCCAAAAGGGGCTTTTATTGCTTTCGGCTTCCCTTGTGAGCTCTGCTCCTTTGGCCTTTCAGGGGCTCCGACTTCCTGCCTTAGCTGCTGCCTGACAGGCTTCCTCGGGGTTTACAGCCGTCTCCTTGTCCCTTCGGCCTCTTGGGTGGGTTCCTCAGCTGCCTGCTAGTTTCTCCCTCATTGGTCGGCATCTTCCTTTTGAGAGGCTCTCTTGCGCTCCCTTTATCTGAGAAATTGTGTCCATGGGATCCTGCCTGGGATTTCTCTAAGCTTGTTTTTTTCCTCCGCCTTAGTGTTTTCCCCACAAGTGCAGGGTCTGCCTTTTGTTTGTCTGTTTGCTTGACCAATCAAATATTGATCCATTGGTTGAGTAAGGAGGAGGATTGACTGGCGTCATCTGAGCCTGATGTCTTGGGCTAAGGGAGAGGGTCTGGCACAGGGTCACCCAACTGGCTAAGGCAGGACCAGGACGCTCCCTCTCCCAGTTTCTATCTGCGTCCTTGACTGCTAGCTAGGGGTGGGCAACCAGAGCAACTCCACGACCTGTGGACTTCAGCCCCCAGAATTCCTGCGCCAGCATGGCCAATTGCACAAGTCTTAAGGTTGCCAAGCCTGGAGATTGCTGACCTTGAGGAACGGGAGGAAGAGTTGTCAACAAGACAATGGTCAGAGAGAAGAAATCTGAGTCTGGGCTGGAACTGAAACCTGCAAAAGGTCTCAGAGAAGACCCTCCTTGGTTCTCTTGAACATAATGGGAGGGAGGGTTGAAAGAAGGGGCTTCAGACTTGCAGGGTTCTGTCCAAAGTTCCTTCGGCCTCTTGGGTGGGTTCCTGAGCTGCCTGCTAGTTTCTCCCTCATTGGTCGGCATCTTCCTTTTGAGAGGTTCTCTTGTGCTCCCTTTATCTGAGAAATTTTGTCCATGGGATCCTGCCTGGGATTTCTCTAAAGTTGTTGGTCTCCCGCAATCTAATGTGCAGGTACATGGCTGTGCTCCATTTTCTCACTGTATAATATCTTGAACCCTAAGATGATGTCACTGTTTTTTCTTCTTCTGCCAACTCTTCCTTTTGATTAGGATCAGACTGAGGAGAAGCAATACCCTTGTTTTCTCTCTGGCCTTCTGGAAAACAAAAGCCCGTTTAAGGACTTCGCAATCATGCATGAGCTGGTTTTTGAGCAGATGTGCAAATAATTGAAATCTCCTTTAACACCCCCCCTCCTGAAAGTTTTGTCTTTTGTCCATTATGCAGGTCTTTGCTAGGCCAGACATGTCAAACATGTCTGGTTTTTCTACTTGGAAGTGCCGAAATGCCGTGGGGAATGGCTTGGGTGCAAAGACTATAGATTTAAATGTTCGGCTTGCAAAGTAGCAGAACACAGAAGATTTGTGTGCAAGAACTGCTAACACTAGCGGTGGGATTTAAAATTCATTTTGAAAGTGTTGAACCAGCAGCTTTCCTTATTCTTTGGGGATTCTAGAAGGCTGGTTCTTAATTGAAATATTTAAGGGCGTTTAAAACATCATCCAGAGCAGCACTCTTGACTGATTTGAGGAAAGCCTCTGTGACTTAATAAGTAATGAAAAAGTGCGTTTTCCACAAGCCGTTTGCACAAATGGAAAGCTTCCAAAATTGACAAATTATTAAAATAAGGTTGCACGAAGGCATGTGGGGTGTTCTCCAGCATGATGACTGAAGAATCCACCAATGGGTTTTTTCTGTCCTCCTGCCCAATCAGACTAAGTTGTCAGGTTGTCACGCCCCTCTTTGACCGGGACCTCCCAGTTTCATCTTAGACCAGGGGTAGGCAACCCAAAACACTCAAAGAGCCACTTGGACCCGTTTCCCACCAAAAACAAAACACTGGGAGCCACAAAACCCTTTTGATATCTAAAATGAAGATAACACTGCATATATCCTTTTTTACCTTTATTATAGGTGTGTGTGTGTGTGTACACACACACACACATTAAAAATAAAAGTAAAAATATGACTTGGGAATATCCATACTATTAAAACAATGATCACCAAGAGAATGCTTTAAGAGAATAAAATTACATACACACATAGGTAAAAAAAGGATATATGCAGTCTTATCTTCATTTTAGATGTCAAAAGGATCTCTCTCTCTGTCTCTCTCCCTCTCTATCTGCCCTTGGTCTGCCACTCCTCTTCCCCCACTCTCTTTCTTTCTCTCTCTCTTCCCCCCCCCTCTCTCCCCCTCCCCCCCTCTCTCTTTCTCTCTCTCTCTTTCTCCCCCCCCTCCTATCTGCTGTTCACCTGGCAAGCTTCAAGCTGTTGTCCAACAAGCTCAGGGGTAAGCAACCTCGTCTCTTTTATGACTCATGGACTTCAACTCCCAGAATTCCTGAGTCAGCCTAGCTGGGCTAGCTCGCTCTCTCCTGCCCTTCCTGCTTCCTGCAGAGACGCAGCAAAGGGAGGAGCTCCGCCCAGTAAGCTTTTCAGCTCCTCGGAGAACACTGTGAGTGCACTCTGTTTTACACACACACACGCACACAAAAACACAAACACACACACACACACAGAGAGAGAGAGAGAGAGAGAGAGAGAGAGAGAGAGAGAGAGAGAGAGAGAGAGAGAGAGAAGCAGGAAAGTGTAATTGCCTTTCTCTGTCTCTGTCTCTCTCTGCAAAGGCAGAGGAAGCTGGGAGCCACAGGGGAAGGCTCAAAGAGCCGCATGTGGCTCCGGAGCCGCAGGTTGCCGACCTGTGTCTTAGACTTTCGCCCATGAGGACGTGATAACCTGACTCTCAGTTCGTTTGGATAGCAGGTCAGACTAGAAATTATCAATCCATTGGTGGATTCTTCTTGAGATTGGGAGAATTAGTGGTGATTATTCCCTTCTCTGGGAGATCTGATTCCTTTTTCCCTTTCCCTTCAGGGCTAGAGTAACATTCCTCTCCAGGATAGGGGGGGTGGTTTCTTTTCATTGAATTCAGCAGTCTGCTGACTAAACTATGTTTGATACAAGTCAGGACAAGTCTCTTTCTCTCCCCCCCCCCCAAAGATTAATGGCACCACCAAAGGAAGGACAGAATTAAAGCCTCTAGAAAATAAGCAGGGGAATAGTTTGGTACCCAAAGCTTTTCAAAGTAGCTGCCAGGCAAGATGGACATCAGAGCACCAGGAATGTTCTCCCGAGAAGGTCCTCTCCAGATGCTTCCTCTTGCAGAGTTGGGATACCTGGGAAGGCGATGAAGCTTTTAAGAAGAGGTTGGACAGCCATGTGTTTCAAATGGTATATAGAACAGGGGTGTCCAGACTTGGGAACTTTAAAACCTGTGGACTTCAACTCCCAGAATTCCCCAGCCAGCCAGAGGAATTCTGGGAGTTGAAGTCCATAGGTTTTAAAGTTCCCAAGGTTGGACACGCCTGGTGTGGGGGCTCCTGCCTGAGTAGGGAATTGGACTAGAAGACCTCCAAGGTCTGTTCCAACTCTGTTGTTCTGTAATTCTGGGCTCTCACAGCTGCCCTTTCCTCACCTCAAACCCTCCGCTCTGTCCGCGTGCAGAGCAGCGATGCTCCCTCGGGTTGGGCTGATGAGAAGAGCCAGTGAAATGGAGGAGGTCTGGCCTGGGCCCAGAGAAGGCTGGGGGGGGGGGCTTTCAGTTGAATCTCCTTTTGGCAGCACTGATTGGGAAGATACACTTTGGCCTAATACAGCGGTTCTCAACCTATGGGTCGCGACCCCACTTGGGCTCGATCGACCATTTCACGGGGGTCGCCAAGCAAGGCTGTCCGCCATTTTTTCCCCCTTTTCCGGCGGGTGCCTTACCTCCCTTGGGCTGGGTCAGCTGGTGGCCTAGCCAGTGGTCGGCCTGCTCCCTCTCTGCCGCTTGCCAGCTACATCTCGGCCGGCGCAGGGGGTGGCACCACGCATGCGCGGCGCTCCCGGGCAGGGAAAGTCCTCAACCTACGACCGGTTTAGTCCTTGACTTACTGGTTGGGGGTTGCGGCATTACAAAGGTTGAGAACCACTGGCCTAATATTTGGCATTGAAATTTTGAAGGGTCAAACAGCCGCAGCACTAAACGAGATGACGAGTAGATCCTGGTGAATTTCCCCAGTTCTGAGCTGGATGTCTTAGTTGTTGCTTTAATTTGAAGTTTGTTTCCCATACTGTATGCAAGTAGCCCTCGACTTAATGACCGGTCACCAAATGACCATTCAAAACCAGAGTGGACTTATGATCCAGATCCAAAGTTCCAACAACACGTAACTGCATTTATGTGACTGTGGTTTGTAATGGTGGTTTGTTTTTGTTTTGTTTTTTGGTTTTTTTTTAAGAAACTGGCTTTTACTTCTTATTGTACTTCTGAACCATGATCTCAGTCAACAATTGCAACCATGTGTTCGCTTAATGACCGTTCAAGTATAAGTTCAGTTGTGGACATAGGTTGCACCTCGTGTTTCATACAGGAGCGGAAGGCATCACAGTTCCTTCTAAGCTACCTCTTTCCCCTGACCCTGGGCCCCCTGGCAGGTGGGTTGATCTGGGAGAAGCTGCCTGCTCAAAGCCCCCCAGAAGCTTCTGGGCTTCCCTGCACCTGGCCCAGCAACCAGACAACCCCCCCTCCGCCCCCCGGCCTTCTTGGCGTATGTCTGCCCTGCACCAGCTGGCTTCTTTCTCCACTGAAGATTTTTCTTTTCACCAGTGCCTTTGTTCTGCCTGATAATGCAGATCTGATTTCTTTCTTTCTTTTCATAGCTCTGGCCATGGGCCTCTGTGTTGCAATGATTGCCTTCGTCCGGCTGCCGAGCCTTAAGGTCTCCTGTCTGCTGCTATCGGGGCTATTAATTTATGATGTCTTTTGGGTGAGTTTTTGAATACATATCTGCATTTATATATATATCTGTTACCACAAGCACAATATTCGTCCAGCATTACAAATTGGAGTGTGTGTGTGTTAGAAATTGGCTTTTGGAATTTGTCCTCACAAGCTACCGTAAATGCTGGCGTATAAGACGACTTCCGCGAGCGCTGAAATCGACGCCAAAGACGGGGGTCGTCTTATACGCTGAGTCGTCTTATAAGCCGGAAATACTGGTAGTTTCCGGCGTATAAGACAACGTTCTAGGAATGCGGCCCGGCTATAAAGACGGGGGTCGTCTTATACGCCGGGTCGCCTAATATGCCGGCATATACGGTACTTTTATTGAGTGTAATGCAATGCCTCTAGAGGCATTATATTTCAGGATGTTTTGCATTTATCCACTGTCAAAAGGCCTTTTCTTTTATATAAAATGTATGTTCACTTTTCCCCGTACATATTACTCTGAGGCCCTCATGTTTACTTCAGTTGGGAAAAAGTATGGAAGGATCTGCAATTTTCATTAAGGGAGCTAAATATATTTATTTATTTATGAGACTTATATACCGCTTTAAGTGCGAGCACTCTCTAAGCGGTGTACACCAGTAAGCAATGTATATATATATTTACATTGCCCCCAACAATCTGAGTCCTTATTTTACCTACCCCGGAAGGATGGAAGGCTGAGTCAACCTTGAGCCGGTGAGATTTGAACCGCTGACCTGCTGAACACAGTCAGCTAAAGTGGCCTGCAGTACTGCACTCTTAACTGCTGCGCCACCTCGGCTCTTATGTATATATCTTAATACACTTCAGAGTTTGGGAAATAAAAAGCTGCTCTAAGATTTGCAACATAAACTAGGCTAACATAAAAATCTAAAATATTTTAATTTTAAACATTTGCTCATTCATTCATTCTTTCCTTTGAACTTGAAAGACCGTTCTAGGCATACAATATCAACAATTGTGACTTCATGGAAAGCAAAGCTGCTGGAGTTTCTGGGATGGGAGCACAGTTTCTGGGATGTTTCTGGGATGGGAGCACAGTCACACTTAAAAAACATCCCTTGACCAGCTCTTTGGTAGCTGCTACTTTTTGGGGCTTGCGGGCACTGAGAGGCATTCCCAGCACGTCATTTTCCTTCTGTCTTTCCTAGACCTCAGGGGCAGATGAGGTGGGCAGGCCTCATCTTCCCAGAACCAAATCTCCAGGCTGAAGCAACATCGGCGATGAATGCCCAAGGAGGGCGGGTGCCCCTTATTACCTGGGCAGATCTTCAGGGGGTTATTTGGGGGGTGAAACATTTGGCACAGTCTCTAGTTTGCGGGTTGACCTTTGCAGAGTTGCCTCGCTGTGAAGACCTGCCTTCTTGAAAGCTGGGCTGAGAGGGGGAGGAAGGGGTGGAAGGAGGAAGGGATGGAAGGAGGTAGGATGGGAGGAAGGGGGAGAGAGGTGAAGAGAGGAGAGAGGGAGGAGGGAAGTAGGGAAGGAAGGTAGAGAGGGCGGATGCAGTTGGGGGGGGGGAGATGGACAAGCAACACCTAAGGTCATATGTATGAATTTATTTTAAAGGTATTTTTTATAACGTATTGAAAGTATTAAATGTATTGAAAAATGAAGAATTCAAAAAAAAATTCAAAAAATAAAAAAAAGAAAGCTGGGCTGTTCTTCAGAGTCCCCCAGAGAAGAAGGATAGTTAAACTGGAGACGCCTCCCGCTTCCTTGTTCACGGCTGTCTAATTAAGCTCTTTTATTTAAGGAAGGGCTGCCAAGTCATAGAGCAGTGGTTCTCAGCCTGTGGGTCGGGACCCCATTTGGGGTCGAAGGACCATTTCACGGGGGTCGCCAAACAACGCAGTCCGTCATTTTTTTCCCTTTTCCTTAGCTGTGCTACTCCCTTTTATTCTATTGGCTTTTGAAAGCCAATAGAATAGATTCTCTTGAACAGAGTCTAATTCTATTGGCTTTCAAAAGCCAATAGGAATCGTCCAGGCTGTCTCTGCCCTGCTGAGCCCGCCAAAAGTCCCATTCCGCAAACGGTGCTGCACCAGTTGAGTGGTCCTCGACTTACGACCGGTCAGGGGTCGCGGCATTAAAAAGGTTGAGAACCACTGTCATAGATAGAGCTGAACGGTGCAAAGAGGACAAAGGTTTAATCTGCCCACAAAATATTTCTGTACGTCTTTCACACCAGCGACAAGGCTGCTAAGTCTGGTCACTGAGATCTGGTGGATGCATCTGCCAGCCCCTTTTTGCTTCCTTGCCGCAGGTCCCAATTTGGGTCGTGGGCAGTTCAATCTCGCTCTTTCCCCTCTCCAGGTCTTCTTCTCTGCCTACATCTTCAACAGCAATGTGATGGTGAAAGTGGCCACACAGCCGGCAGACAACCCCCTGGATGTTTTATCTCGGAAGCTTCACCTGGGGCCCAGCGTTGGCCGGGACGTCCCACGCCTGTCGCTGCCTGGAAAACTGGTCTTTCCAAGGTAGGATTGGTCTTCTTGGCTTCCCGTCCATGACTTCTCCAGTTTGGAAGCTGTTTGCAGGACATGATTGCCCTTACAAAAGAGAGACCCAAGCGGGGTGGGTGGGTGGGTGGAGGGGGGGGGGGCATAGCCTTCCATTCACCAACCTGGGTTACCTGGCCAGTTTGTGGCTGATGCTGGCCAAGAAGGAAGGGCTGGTGCTGGGGGCGTTAACATCGCCGGCTCTTTTGCAGTTCCACAGGCAGCCATTTTTCCATGCTGGGGATCGGAGATATCGTGATGCCAGGCCTGCTGCTTTGCTTTGTTCTGCGTTACGACAACTACAAAAAACAAGCAAACGGAGAGTCTTGTGGCACAGCAGGACCCGGGAACATTTCTGGCCGTATGCAAAAAGTCTCCTATTTCCATTGCACTCTCATCGGATACTTCGTAGGTAAGAGGGAAGGACAGCTGGAAAGGGCTGTGACAACTGTGAAACGTTTCCCTTACACAACTCTTTAACAGCAGTCTTTGTAGGATTTTCCTGAATGTGTGTGTGTGTGTGTGTGTGTGTGTGTGTGTGAGAAGGTTGCTGGAATTGGGTATGTCTAGTTTAGTGAAGAGAAGGACGAGGGGGGGACATGATAGCAGTCTTCCAGTATCTCAGGGGTTGCCCCAAAGAAGAGGGAGTCAAGCTATTCTCCAAAGTGCCTGAAGGCAGGAGGAGAAGCAACGGATGGAAACTAATCAAGGAGAGAAGCAACCTAGAACTAAGGAGAAACTTCCTGACAGTGAGAACAATTAACCAGTGGAACTACCTGCCTCCAGAAGCGGTGAATGCTCCAACACTGGAAGTTTTTAAGAAGAGACTGGACAGCCATTTGTCCGAAATGGTATAGGGTTACCTGCCTGAGCAGGGGGTTGGACCAGATGACCTCCAAGGTACACACACACACACACACACACACACACACACACACAGTGCTTTTTTTCTAAAAAAAAAAAAGTGGCGGAACTCACACACGTCATACAACCCGCCTTGCCTACCCTACAAAGTTCCATCCAAAAAAGGTGCCAGAACTCCGTTCTGGGCGTTCTATGAGAAAAAAAGCCCTGCATATACATGCGCGCGCGCGCACACGCACACACACACACACACACACACACACACACACAAAATTTGGAGGGGTTTATGGTACTTTTCCAAGTGCAAAACAAAAAAGTTAAGTGCAAATTCTTAAAACTCTTATATGTTGATCCAAACGTAACTTACACACATAGGTTGTTCTCGACTAACATCCACAATTGGGTATGGGATATCGGTTGTTGGGAGAATAGTCATTGAGACATCACATGACTGCTTCGCTTAACAACCACGATCCTGGCTCTCTCAGTTGCTGTTAGCGATCTTATGGGTCATTAAGTGGATGGAGTTCCAGGTAAGGAACGTGGGATGCCTCCAGGTGTGGGAGACCCTGGGCGACACACAGGTTGGGGAACTGCTGGGGACAGGTTTCTCCACTCAGACTGAAAGTATTCCCTGCTGAAATCCAAGCAGGATTTCATTAAAACGACACCATTTATGTAGAAGTATGGAGAAATAAGGAAATAGATGTATAAACTAGTTATGTATGTATGTAGTTTTGTTCCTTTGAGTCAGCTTCTGAGAGGAGAGAGAGAGAGAGAGAGAGAGAGAGAGAGAGAGAGAGAGAGAGAGAGAGAGAGAGAGAGAGAGAGAGAGATGTATCACTGTGTAGTTGGCAGATAACAACTTTGTCATTGTCAAACCCCGGGGCTTGCCACTTCCTGCCAGCCTCCCCAGTGACTTGATTGTAGGGAGGCAGCAGGAAATGGCGTGGTCTAATGGCCTTCACTTAACAATGGCACACAGACGGCCTGGATGGCCATTGCTAAGCAAAGCGGTCACACTTTATGACCGCATTGCTTAGTGACGGCATTCCCGGGCTCGATTGCCCTTGTAGGTTGAGGAGTACTGTAGACCTTTTAACCAAACTTAGAAAACAGTTTATGCTGGACGGTACCTTGAAGTTTTTTGCTAAGCTTTTTATTAAACAAGGTTTTCTAAAATATAGCCCTAATTTTTAATCCGTTTTAAACACACACATACAGGCTAACTAGCTAACAGTATGACTAGCTGAGAGGTGTACAGTCTTTGAGCCATTATTAACTCTCAGAAGCTTTTTAGTTTTTAATTGGCAGCAATGCTGGCTGGGGAATTCTGTGAGTTGATGATGTCCACAAATCTTAAAGTTGCCAAGGTTGGAAATGGGTAGCAAAGCAGAGCCAGCAAAGGTCAGTGCAAAGACAAATCTCATCTTCTGTCCCAGGCCTTCTAGGGATAGTAGATTTCTCCAGGGGCTGCATCTGCTGAGTAAAAACGAGCACCTTCTAGCAGTGAATTTTCTTGCCTCCTTCGCAGGGCTCTTAACAGCCACCGTGGCGTCTCGCATCCACCGAGCAGCCCAGCCGGCTCTGCTGTACCTGGTGCCCTTCACCTTGCTGCCACTCCTCACTATGGCCTACTTGAAGGTAAGTGGGCCAGGATGGAGACCAGCTCCTGGTTGCACCCTTTGGAGAATCCAACTTGTAGCCTAGAAGGGCCAGCAGCTAGGCCTCTCTCGATTCCTGACTAACTCTATAGCTCCTGCTCAGAAAAGGAAAAAGGAACTCGTGCCTTGAAAGGGCTGTGATCTTAGATCAGCTTTTGCTTTTATTTTAAGTTTTAAATATCTGCCTGCATTTCCTTGATACTGCCCGCTGCCTGAAAACGTAATGCGTGCATGTTAAAAATATCTTTACTCCCTTCTTGAATCGTCAGGAAGACTTGGCAGCAACACTACAGTGAACAGGTAGTCCTCAGGTTACACCTGCTCGTTTAATGACCATTCGGTTGGCCTTAGCCTAGCAGTGAAGTACCGTGTGACAGAGCGAGCTCCCGTTACTTGCCCCAGCTCTTGCTAGCAGTTTGAAAGCATGCAAATGCGAGTAGATCAGTGGTTCTCAACCTGTGGGTCGGGACCCCATTTGGGGTCGAACGACCATTTCACGGGGGTCGCCAAACAACGCAGTCCGCCATTTTTTCCCCCTTTTCCTTAGCTGTGCTACTCCCTTTTCTTCTATTGGCTTTTGAAAGCCAATCGAATAGACTCTCTTGAATAGAGTCTAATTCTATTGGCTTTCAAAAGCCAATAGGAATTGTCCAGACTGTCTCTGCCCTGCTGAGCCCGCCAAAAGTCTCATTCTGCACCAGTTGAGTAGTCCTCGACTTATGACCGGTTGAGTAGTCCTCGACTTACGACCGGTTGGGGGGCGTTGCGCCATTAAAAAGGTTGAGAACCACTGGAGTAGATAAACAGGTACCCCTTCGGTGGGCAGGTAACAGCGTTGCGTGCGCCTCAGTGTTTAGTCATGCTGGCAACATGACCACGGAAGCGTGTTCGGACAACACCAGCTCCCTCAGCTAGGAAACGGAGAGGAGCACCATGCTCCAGAGTCGGACACAACTGGACAGGGGACACTTTTACCTTTTTTTTTTTTTTTAAACTTTGGAAAGGGTGCTTCCTTGCATTCTTAGATGAGAGGGAATCTCTTTGGGTGTCCATAATGTTTTCCCAAGATACCCCTCAGTCCATTTTCTTCTTTGAAATAGGGCGCCGTTCTACTGTGATCCTAGTTTCGACAAGGCTTCTCTTCCCTTCACAGCCGGCTGCTCTGTGCTTTTCTGCCTTCTCAGCCAGGTCCTTTCACAGGAAGGAATAAAATAAAGTTCCCTCGGCCTTCACCTCCTGCTCAGAATAATCGCTTGCAGGGCCTTCAGTTCAGTATCGTTGGTTTCCTGCGAAGGACGGGTAACAGCCACCTGTTGGCTCCAGCCACTGCAGCAACCCTCTCCCCAGTCACCCGATCATGATCAGTGCACTTGGTAACCACGCTTACGATGGTTGCAGCGTCCCACGGTTACGTGATCGCCATGGGCACCTTTCCCTGCTGGCTTCCCACAGGCAGAGTCAAGGGGAAGGTCGCAGGTCATTTTGAGGTAGATGGAAAATTGCCATTAAGAGAAATGGTAAAGTACTTTTGAATTATATTTTAATTAACAGAGGTGATGTTTTGAAAGCATTAACTAATACTATAAACTGGCTGAGTGGGATGACCTGTGTGCAATTCTATGAAGAATTGCACACAGGTCATCAGACTTGCCCTCCAATGGATCCTCGTTAAAGGATTTAAAGTGGACTCATTCCAATTACAGGGCCTCGAAAGAGTCCTGTATTGTTATTTTTCGTCACTACCTCCCCGCGTCGGGAGTGGGTAATTTGCGCGCCTGCTGCCTTCCTTGGATGTGGTAGCCGTTTCTCAGGCTCCCTCTCCGGAATCGAACCCTGATTCCCCGTTACCCGTGGTCACCATGGTAGGCGCAGAAAGTACCATCGAAAGTGGATAGGGCAGACGTTCGAATGCGTCGTCGCCGCCACGTGGGCGTGCGATCGGCCCGAGAAGTGTCAACTGAAAGTCACAGATGGTGTGAGATATTACCCGTGTAGAGAGGTGTGGTAAGACAACCGTTTGTGTGAACTTCTCCTTTTTCCTGGTGTAGCCTCAAGATATAAACTTCTCTGTTTTAGTGTGTTAAAGGTAGATAAGAAGTCATCCCTTGGGTAAAAGCGTGGGCGGCAAGCTGTATAAAAATGACACCCTGGGAGTAACTCAGGGTTCAGAATTTGTCATGAGAATGCTCTGAACCATTGTGCACAAATAAAGCCTGTTTTCTCCAACCCTTCGTGGTCTTGTCTTCTGATATAAGTATTGTGGTTTTTCCACAACAATTTGGTTAAATCTCCCCCACCCAGCAGTATCCATCCCAAGCCCCGCCATACTTGGGCCGCACCGGACCCTCGTGCACCCCTACTGACCCTCCTGCCTGCCCGTCTGCGTTCCGTGGAGAGAGGTTTTTCCGCAGACCGGAGGGGGCCTAGTTTTGTGTGCCGCCTCCATCCCGCGGACGGGGCTTTGCTTGTTTGTGCAGACCGGGTGCTGGCATGCCACAGTACTGCTCCATGGGCCAGGTGTTGGCCTTGTGACACTGGTATTTGAACATAGATCTTTTTAACGTGTATTTTTTTATTGGGTTCTGTTAACCTAGGTGAAATATTAATGGACTGTATATGGCTAGTCCCTGTATGATACGCCCTACTGTGCTAATTAACTGACCCGGTCTCTCTCCCAGGGCGACCTGCGCCGCATGTGGTCGGAGCCATTCCATTCGAAGTCCAGCAGCTCACGGTTCTTGGAGGTATGATGGAGCCGGCGGTCAGCGGCCAAACTTCTGCCTGGATCTTTTTTCACTCACACAGCTTGCTTGCCGGTGTCTGAGGCAGGGCTGGTACTCCGGGGCATTGCCAGTTTGTGGAACTTGTACAGACCGACTCGCTGTATTTCCAGGAGGAGGAAAGGGCAGAGTCGCCGGGCTTGCTCTCCAGCCTCTTCCTTGTGACTGGAGACCCCCTGCCCCAGCTCCCTTCTCCTCCCGGCCCCCCTCCTGTTTACAAACCAGTGCAGACCGTCGGCTGCTCCTGGGGGGGGGGAGGAGGAGGAGGAGGCAGCAGCTAGGTCAGAAAACGGCACACTGAGTCGTTGAGGAACTTGTGAACACTACAAGGAAAAATGGCCACAGCACTTGGAGTTTCCTGGACAACCCCACCCGTACTTTGGATCCTGTTTTTCCGTTGGACTCCAGTTTTGGAACGAACTGAATTTCTTCGCTCCCTGTACTCTTTCTCTCTCCCCCCTTTCCGTTTATTTTCTCCTGTGGTGTGAGGTGACCTATGAAATCCACAGACATTGATTGACTTATCGCAGTATACCAGATTAAAAACTTTGTTGTAACAAGTTACATTTCCACCCTGATATCATAATGCAGTGAATAAGAGCATCATACACACACACACACACACACACAGAGTCAGACAAACACACACACACATACACACACACACGTTCCTACACTCCTCCTTTTATACATCCCTTCAGGCATGCACATATAGCATTGTATATGTGTGTGAACCAACACACAAAACACAGACCCCCACCCACACTGCAAGGGCAAACTCTGCTAGGATCATGCTTTGTAGCTGAGAGGGGCTTGCTGTAATTTTGAGCATGTAGAGCAGTTGACAATGGCTTTCTTGTATATGGATCTGCAAATAGCCCGATGCCACTCCCTGTCCCTTCCCACCAGTGAAGCTTCCAGTTCTGTTTTCTTTTAAAGGTGTCGTATGTCGTACTGAATGTCCTTCTGGATGTTAGGGGATTTTGTTTGTTTTGTTTTTTGATTTGCAATCAATGTAGCAAACTTAGGGGGGGAAGAAAGACGAAGCCTTTTCCTTCCTGCCCTGTTTTGTTTGTGGGTTTGTTTTTTACAACTTGTCCATAACAGTTTTTAGTAGCTCTCTTCTCTTGACCTAATGCATGTATTATAGCAGCTGTTGTCTTCGTGTGTTCTGATCATAGTAATGTATGACTTGTAAATACATTTTTTTCTATTTTCTATTTTTGGGTAATTTCTTTTGCATTGTTTCATTAGTGTGTTGTATTTCTCCCCATTACCCAGTGTTTAAAAAGTGGGGACTCCACCCTCTGCTGTTGTGATGGTCAACGTTTATGATGACTACTTTGTACCTGGGAGTCTCTTAAAAACAAGGACTTTTCTAAACAAAGTGTCCAGGTTCTGTTGTGTTAACTGTGACAGATCAACTGTTTTAAAGTTTCCCAGCATCATGATCTCTTTTTGATCAAAAGAAAAGTTTCTGGCTTTCTATTTAAAGGTCTGTGCTTGTAAAATCTCAAACCCCAGGACATTACAGGCCTTTCCTAGGCTGGCTTCAAAGAGCTTGGAGCTGAGATGGTTTATTGCCCTTCAGTCATACGTGGACAGTCATCTCCTGACATGCAACCATCCCTCATTGTTTCCTTTTTGTGTTCCTCAGCAGGTTTCACGTTGCCTTCGTGTCCAGTTTGAGAGCTTCCTGGAAGCATCTAGTTAGGTGTTTGCAGGAGGTGGTGTTGTGGACACCCCTCGTCTGAGCCAAGGGACCTCCTTTGTGCATACAGTTTAGGAGGCACTTTGAGAAAAGGGGCACAGGAACACAATTCTTAAATTAAGGGAACCCCTCAGCTTGCCTTCAGAGGTTGTGGGTACTCCATCCCTGGAGGTTTTTAAAGAAGAGATTGACCAGCCATTGGTCTGGAATGGAGAGGGTAAAGGTGTCCAGCCTTGGGAACTTTAAGACTTATGGACTTCAACTCCCAGAATTCCTCAGCCAGCATAGTCTTAAAGTTCCAAGGTTCGACACCCCAGTATAGGGTCTCCTGCTTAAGCAGGGGTTGAACTGGAAGACCTCCAGCTCTGTTATTCTGTATGTATATTTCATCTTTTCTCATCATGAAAATACAGGTCACCCTACTTCCATCCAGGCCCTGACCACACAAAGAGCTGCTTGGCTTCTAAAGATGGCTGGTTTTGTTGTCTTTACAGATGGCCCTGGTGACGCAGTCTATCTGAAGCATGTTGAATTTTTTTTGTTGTATTTTATTTGCAAACAAATTCAGGACTTTGGTAATTTCCAAACAAATCTAGCTTTGGTACCCTGTATTGAAGACTCAAGAGTTTAGCTTGGCTTAGTTGACTAATTGGAGCTGATCCTAAGGACCCCGGCCCGTTTCTCACACTCGACTCATCAGACCCACGTCTGCTGTATCCTGATGTTTGGTTGCCCTAAACCTGTTCTCCAGAGCACAGATCTTTGGGAAAGGAGTCACCGTGGAACGAAAGTGTATTTTGCATTGGTTCGAATCATAGGGCAGGAATTCACTTCCAAAAGCTTTCGTTAGCAGCCGGTGTGCATTTCCATATGTGATAACAATGAAGATGCTTGCAGGGAGACAAGAATTTTTTTTTTTATTACGGGAACAAAATGCTTCTCCTGTTTCCAGTCCACTCATTTTGCATACTGGGTGTTTGCAACCCCTCCTCCCTTACCCCCCACAACCCACAAAAGAGTGGAGAGTCCAACTCTCGGGGGTTCTGGGCTTGAATTTTGAAAATCCTAACTGAAATCGCCAGCTTTTGCAGTTGAAAGTTGTTGTCACTTTCAATCAATTAAATTTCAATTCTCAGAGATTATTTTCTTAGTTCTCAACTAAGCGATAGGGATGTAATCAGTCGTCTTAAAATAATTGTCGTTGCTCCTGGGAGAATTTATCCATTTGCATGGAGAATTGATGTGCAATGTGGGTTATGGGAGAATGTGAGGAACTTTCTGAAGCGTTGATAACTGTTTGTTGGGCTCTTCTTCTCCAGTTTCAGTGGGCAGGGAATTGGCAGGCAGGCAGCACATCTGGCCACATGAGGCAGGACCTGTTCGAAGGGCCTGGAAGCAGCTGGGAAGCCTGTGCATAACTGGGGTCCCGTGGTGTCCATCCACCTTCCCCCTGGAGGGTCTCTCAATGCGCTGCATTGCGTTAACAGTGACTGGGATTTTCAGCTGCGCAAGAAGCGCATATGTGGTGTTTATTTTGCTCTGCTCAGACCATGCCTTTCTATAAAATATTCCCAATGTATGCATATTTTTAAACCATACTTTTTAGAAGTCATATTTTTACAAGTCCGTTCAAAAGCAGCTCCAAAGTGGATGCTATACCTGTACTATAATTAACATCCCGGCATCTTATAAAGTATATATTAATTTGTGCTTGTGGTTTTAATTTATTTAATGAGATGCGTTGAAATTCTATGTAATTGAGGCACTGATGATCAGTGTCTGGTTTTTTTTCAAATCCATTTAAAAAATGTTTTGGTTTTTGATCCCTTAAGAGAGAAAAAAGAGGGAAGTAAAATTACTATGCAGGCAGTTGATGCTGGGTTGTGTTGTATCAAATTGCTCGTTTTACTTCCCATTTAAAACTTCCACCTTTTTTCTTTTGAATTGGCTCATGGAAGGAAACAATGGCTCCCTTCACGTTCTCCCACCGTTGCTGCAAAATGACTAGAAACTGGTGGAGTTCTTGTGACTTAAATCCCCCAACCCTCTAGACAGGATCTATGACTTTTTCGACCATACTTTCAGCAGGCGCTTCCGTTTGTACAGAGGCCCCGAGGAGCAGAAAAGCTGACCAAGGCCACGTGCAGATGCCAGCTGGGGTGAGCCGCTGGAGATGGCTCTGCTAAGCCCTGCCAGTCGGAGGCATCTTAGTAGCCAGAAACCTCAGTCTGGATTGAGTCTCCGTTTGTTGGCTCTTTCCCAATCCGTCGCCCTGCCCAAGCACGGCTTCAGATGCCCGCTCTGGCAACCTCCGCGGAAGGTTTCTGTGGCGGCTGGACCGATGGCCACCGAGAGGCCCACACGGTCCTCTCCCAGTCTCCCTTTTTCCCCCAGCACGAGTTGTCCCCCAAGACTTTGTGGCATAGCTGGGCCTCCCAAAAACCAGGGAGAGTTTTAAGTTCAGCAGCTCTCCCAACTCTTGGTAACCCCACCCTTGTGTGTTCTAAGACTGGCTGTACAAGGTAAGGTGATATATCTGGGCGCTGATATATCAGGAACCCAGGAAGCAGCTGGCAGAGTCTAAAGAGGATCCAGGCAGCCACACCTGAAAAGCTTCTGAGGAGCAGCAGATGCACCTTCTGTTGACTTGCTTCAGCATTTTAAAATAAAATAGTTTTGTTAAAATAGTTTTGATTCAGAAGCACAAACACTTTTTTTCCCTGTGCCGTAACTGTACGGGTGGCCCTCAACTGAATTTGGGTTGCTAAGCCATGCAGTCATTGAGCAATCATTGTGTGACCAGACCCAGTTTTATGACCATTTTTACCAGTTAAGTGAATCACCGTGGCCATTAAGCAAATCAAGTGGCCGTTAAGTGGATCACATGGTTGTTAAGCGAATCCACCTTCCCCAGTTGACTGCTTCCCAGAAGCCGCCTGGGAAGGTCACAGCCTGAAGTCATCTGACTGCAAGACGCTGCAACTGTCATAATGCGAGCCGACTACCCAGCGCCCAAGCTGTGATCACGAGACCGCAGAGTTGATGTAACAGTTGTAACTTCAAAGTAAGTCACTTTTCTGAGGCGTTGTAACTGTGAATCATTGTTAAGTGAACAGTCATAAGTTGAGGACTAGCTGTAGCTGTACAGTTATGTTCTTGGTGTGAAAGGGCAGACACAGATATGACGAGACCGGAAGAGAGGTGATCCTCAACTGCCTGAGAGACCCTGTAGGACAGTGGTTCTCAACCTTTTTAATGCCGCGACCCCCAACCAGTCGTTAATTGAGGACTACTCAACCGGTTGTAAGTAGAGGACTACTCAACTGGTGCAGCACCGTTTGCAGAATGGGACTTTTGGCGGGCTCAGCAGGGCAGAGACAGCCTGGACAATTCCTATTGGCTTTTGAAAGCCAATAGAACTAGACTCTATACAAGAGAGTCTATTCTATTGGTTTTCAAAAGCCAATAGAATAAGAGGGAGTCGCACAGCTAAGGAAAAGGGGGAAAAAATGGCGGACTGCGTTGTTTGGCGACCCCCGTGAAATGGTCGTTTGACCCCAAATGGGATCCCGACCCACAGGTTGAGAACCACTGCTGTAGGATCACCTCCACCTGCTGTCTTCAACTTGCGGTGGGCAAAAAGGAGATCACACACTTGTTCTACTTCTCTAGTTATTCATCCTGGAACGGTGCATTTTTAAACTTTCTTTTTATCCCTACCTTAAAGACTAATTTTATACCTGGAATATCTTCATCATGTTTTAAACAGTTGTTATGTGAGTTGAATACTGCTTCAGTGGCAACCTTTTCCAAGAAATATATAGTTAACAAAAGTTAAAAGACTAATCTTACTGCACCGAGGAAGCACTCTAAAAACATCCAGACCTATTTAAGCCATTTGCATTCAGAACCGCCTTCAGCTTCTGGATGGCCTTCTAGGGCAGCCCCATATAGGGTGTATTGCAGTAACCCAACCAAGGGAGAATTAAGGCATGATGACAGAGCACCAGGTTTCCTGGTGCAGAAACAGGATGCAGTTGTGCAAGAGCCCTCTTAGCTGCCGTTGGCACCTCTCCCTCGTGCAGCAGAAGCCGTGAGTCCAAGGAGATTCTCCTTCACCAGTTCCGAATGAAGGCATGCGGCCTTTCCATGATCAAGGATGGACTCTCCCTGGACTCAGTCTTGGGATCCAAAGCAATTCCATCTTGCTGGATTCTGACTTCCGGTCACTCCTTTGTGGCTTGATGCAAGCTGAATATTGGCATACTGATAACTAATCCTGGGTCAAGAAATAACCTACCATCTGAATCCAATATTCATATGGACATTAAACAGTAGTGGAAAGGAGTCAAACATTGCAGCCACCCACAACTAAAAGACCTTGCAACCCCACTTCTCCCACTACCGTTTGCTGGAGTCAGCTTAGAGGAAGGACAAGCACACTAAAAATGTACCACCAATTCCCAAACACAGCAGACGGCCCAGACCGAGCCTGTGATTTGATCAACCACTTGAAAATCTATTTCCTCCAGGGCCCTCCAGAGTTACAGACCTACTTGAGAACTTTCACCATGAATGAAGCATTAGAGACTGGTTGGTAATTCTCCAAATCAGACTGAGTGATGTCTAATTAAGGAGAGCACTTCCACTAATCAGAAAAGGCAGGGATCCAACCCACAAGAGGCGGTGGAGTTGGTGTCCCAGAGGATGGAGATCCACTTCCTCAGACCAACAGTTGCAGGCTCATCCCAGGTAGCTTCACAAGAGTCTTTCTTCACCACAACTGGTGTCTCAGATGGCATCTTAATTCTGAATGCCAGATGCACAACAGATGTTCCTCATGACCATCTTTCTCCTTTGGAAAATGAAATGAACTGACCAACTTTAATCAGACTATGATATCAGACTTCTTAACATTCCCCAAATTCAAACCACGCTGCCTCTGCTGCAAGAACACGGGCGGTCAAGGCTCCCGAGTTGGGGGCCTGTGACAAGCCCATGATTATCATGGTGACTATAAAACCTTGAAACTGAATCCAACCCTGGAAAAGGCAAACTGAAGTTGTCCAAGTCACCAGCCTGGGAAGGACCTGTGCTGACTTGGAGATGAGGTAGAGCATGTTTGTCAGCCTTGGCAACTACCCTGTGGACTTCAACTTCCAGAACGTGGTGGGGAAGCAAATTTAAAATTAAAAAAATGAAAGCACTCCAAGCTGGAGACGAGACTGAGTTCTCGTCCTGCCTTAGGCATGAAAGCCAGCTGGGTGAGTCTGGGCCACTTAAATTTCAGTTAAATGTTCAGACAAAAATACCTGACTTTGAGGGGGGCGCCAAGGCCCAGCTAAGTCTCCCCTTTCTCTGGGAAGCTGCAAGGGACCCTCTTCCAGCTCCAGGGTTTTAGCACGCAGAAGGCCGGACCCTTGAACATGTATTCAAAAAAGGACGGCAATTAAACCCAAAGCTGTCAGTGCTCAAATTTAATCGCCGATTCTGATTGCATCAAGGCGGGCATCTGCCTCTGGGGTGGAGGAAACTTGGCTTTGGGGCACAAACAAGGCACTTGGGAGTCTTACGGCTACGGTTTGCTCTCTGCCACCAACACCAGCAGCTTTTCAGGGTTTGTTGATTTGGGTCGCTTCCCAATCCCCGGTTAATGTCTCACTGATCTGTTTCCCGACAACCTGCTTTCTTGCAGCTGTCACTGAAGACAAAGAGAAACTGCACCTGGACAGATCTCGCCCCACTGGAATCCGCGTGGTCCATGATGGAGTAGATCTTAGCTAGAGACTAGAGAACTTTGCCAAGGCTGGGATAGGAGGCACTTGTGCACCCATGTCCAAGGTCCTTGTTCCCGATGATTCAAGGTGCCTCTTCTCTACCTCCATCGGCGACGTGGTCATCAAAGGAGTCGGGTGCCTGGCCTGCCAAGGGGTGGATGCCCGCCATTTAAGCCAGCTCCTGACCTAAGGGGGGCCCCGTGACCCTCATCTTCCATAGCAGTCCTCTTCAGCTTCGATAGGCCTTCAGCAGCTGCCCGGCAATCACCAGCCTCTGGATTTCGCTGGTTCCCTCGTAGATCTCCGTGATGCGGGCATCTCGGTAGTGGCGCTCGGCCGGCATCTCCGTCACATAGCCCATCCCGCCCAGGATCTGGATCGCCTGAAGGAAAAGCAGCGGTTCTGGCACGGGTGGAATGGAGGCAGCCCTCCGCAAACTGGGCCAGCCTCCCGGCCATCTAATCCTCAAGCTTTGCAAGGATCGTCTGTCCTTACAAGACGAAGCGCAACTCACCTGCGGCCTTTCCCTGGTGAAGCTTACCTGGTGGGAGATGAAAGTCGCTGCCTCGGACGCCGAGAGCTTGGCCATGGCTGCCTCCTGGGGGGGGGGGAAGCAGAGAAGCTACCTGGCACGGTCCTCTCTCAGAGGCTCAGGTTACACCTATGGCACGCGTGTCGCCAGTAACATGCCAGGCCCCAGACCCTCTGGAGGTCATGCGAGAGGGCCTTGCTCTCGCAGCACCTCCGGGGCTTCCAAAAATCCTGCAACGTCCTCTTTTTTCCAGGGAGGGGAAATGGGGAAATGTCTGTGTGTGTGTGTGTGAGAGAGATGCCAAGAGATGCCAGAGCCAAGGTAGGCATTTTTCTGAATTTTCAACAAGTCAAGCTCAAAGGATATCAGTAGCCAAGGAGGGTTTGCTGCTTATCCCACTTATTCCTTTGTATATAACCTTGTAAAATGCTGGCATTCTCATGAGATGCTTTTTTTTTTTTTTTTTTAAGAAATGAACTTTAATTCTGAAGTCTGCCCCAGCAAGGATGGCCAGGGAATCCTGGGAATTGAAGTCCACAAGTCTTCAATTCTGCCAAGTTACGGCACTCCTGCTAAAGAGGCTAATTAGGCCCTAGTTGGTAGAGAGGGAGATTACCTTTGTGTAGGGCTTTCCGTGGTCAGTCAACGTGGCTGCTCTCCAGGTGAGCAGGCGAGCCCCCTCCAGCGCCACTGCCATGTCAGCCAGCTTGAACTAGACACAGAACACCCCCAGGGCGGATCGTCAGCACCCCTAAACTACGGGAGGAGTCTAAACCAGCATTATTGCCGGTTAGCAGACGACCCTGGCTTAGCCGAAGGGAAGAGGGTGCCCGAGGGCTGCAGACTGGATGCCACAAAGGAAAGCCAAGCAGCCCTTGCAAGGCCCAGGGGTGGAGCAGGCCATTCCCCATGAAGTGTGTGTGTGGGGGGGGGAAGGTCACATGTGAATGGTACAGGGCAGAGGGGGCAACTATGGCAATTTTATGATCTGTGGACTTCAACTCCCAGAATTCCTGAACTGAGGTCCAGAGGTCATAAGATTGCCATAGTTGCTCCCCAGCCCCATACTTATAAGCTTTGGTTTAGTGACCATCACTGAAAACAGTGACTTGTGACCAGGTTTCACAGTTATGACCGCTGCCGCCTCCCCTTGGCCACTTGGCAGCTGGCCTGCATTTAGGAAGACTGCAGTGTCCTGGGGTCACGTGATCCCTTTTTGCGATCTTTTGGCAAGCCACTTAACTCAGTGGCTCTCAACCTTTCTAATGCCGTGACCCCATAATACAGTTCCCCATGTTGTGGTGACCCCCCAAGTGGGTGTGGCCACCAATAAGAGGGAGTAGGACAGCTAGGGAAAAGGGAAAAAAATGGTGGGCAGCGTGGTTTGGCGACCCCCGTGAAATGGTCATTCGACCCCAAATGGGGTCCCGACCCACAGGTTGAGAACCACTGCCTTAACTGCTGTGTTACTGTGTTCATTTAACAACTGCGGGGACAAAACTCATTTAACAGCTGTCTCGCTTAGCAACAGAAGTTTTGGGGTCAATTGTGGTCACAGATCGAGGACTTACCCATATAAGCGTCTCCTGCTTGAGCAGGGGGTTGGACTAGAGAGCCTCCAAGGTCCCTCCCTCCCTCCTCTGCTGTTCTGCATTCCAGGGGGACCTGGGCTGGAGCACCCAATGGGGCAGGGGGAGGCCTGTCTTTTTGTCATTTGGGCCCCAGAAGTGCTCTTAATGCCCACCCTGACCTGGGCAGTATCTGGGGCTCAGAAAGAGGCCCTTGAAGCAGAGCAGCAGCAGGGAAAGCGGGGGGAGGGCTGCCCCCCCTACCTGAATGGCCTGCAGCTGGGTGAGGGGGTGCCCAAATGCCAGCCTCTTCTCGGCGTAACCCACGGCGCAATCCAGAGCGGCCTGGCCAATCCCCAAGGCCTGGGAAGCAATTCCAATCCGGCCGGAGTCCAAGGTTTGCTGCAGAGAGGACAAGGAGGCACTGGGGGAGGGCCTCGTGGGGGGCAGGGGGTCCAGGCAAGGGGCCCCCTTCCCTCCACCACTCACCATGGCGATCTTGAAGCCCATCCCCTGCGCGCCCAGCAGGTTCTCCTTGGGGATGCGGCAGTCTTCGAAAATGAGGTTGGCGGTGGAGGAAGCCCTGATGCCCAGCTTGTCCTCCTTCTTGCCCAATGAAAGGCCCGGGCACGGCATGGGCACCAGGAAGGCGCTGATGCCCTGCAAGGAACAGCAGCCTTTCCCAGCGGCTCTCCAGAAGCCCCGAAGCCCCAGCTGACTTCTTCTGCCCAGCAGGACTTGGGGAACAGGGGAGGACGCAGCTTCCCCTCCTCCCATGGGAGCCAAGCAGGTGGAGCAGCCCTCAAAGAAGGGCGCCCGCTCGGTTTCTGGAGCCAGGGCCCCCCCGTTCTGGAGGGGGACGCGTCCCAGAGATCAGGATGTGCACCGTCTCTCCTTCCTTTGGATGCCCGATGGCCACTGTGGTCTTCTCTTCAGCTTCTGGGCCAGACTCGGCTGTCCCAGGCCCCCCTGGAGACGGTTCCCAGGACCCTTTCTCCTCCTGCAGAGACCACCCGCTTGCCCGGCACAGCCGAGGTCAGAGCCTACCTTGTGCTTCAGGGCTTTGTCTGTGGTGGCGAAGACCACGGCGGCCGAGGCCTCCCAGGCGTTGGTGATCCAGGCCTTGGTTCCATTCAGCACCCACTCGTCCCCAGCCAGCTGAGCCACGGTGGATGCCGCTCCGGCGTCGCTGCCGTTTCCTTGGCGAGAGAAAGACCGTGCATGCAGCCAAGAGGTGCTGCAGCTGCTGCCGGGGCACGTGCATCAGGTGGCCGGAGGAGAATGTTGCCTTTTGCTCTTTTCCAGCAGCGCTGCCTGGCTGGCTGGCTGCAGCAGGTGTCAGACCTACCCCAATCTGATCCCTTAGGAAAGAAAGACCCTCGACTCCACTTGGTTACAGCAAGGGCTTCTTTTGCTAAAGGTGTTGGCTGCAGTGACGTCAGGCTAGCTCTGATACAAGAGATCTCTTGCTCAAGAGATACAAAAAAGGTTTGCCCCCCCATCCCATCCCCCCCCCCCGGTGTCCAGTCTCTTTCCAAACAACCGGAGCTCACCAAATTGTTTTGAGAATTCTTGAGATGTTTGGGGGTGGCAGCCTCCCCCATGGTTATCTGGTCACCACTGGGATGCTTGGTCAACCGGCAGGTGTTTTTGATGGTTGCCGTGTCCTGGGGGGGGGTCACAAGATCCCCTTTTGTGACCTTCTGACAAGCAATGTCAATGGGGAAGGTAGATTCACTTAACAACTCTGCAGTGATTCGCAATTGCGGCACGAAAAGTTGTAAAAATGGGGCAAAACCCGCTCAACCGTCTCGCTTAGCGATGGAAATTTTGGGCTCAGTCGTGGTCCTAAGTTGAGGACGGCTTGTAGAATCTAAAAGGAATGGACCGCCGGGGGAAAATCCCAAGCGCCCAAGTTACCTGGCTCGCTCAGGGCAAAGCACCCCACTTTCTCCCCACTGGTGAAAGGAGGGATCCACTCCTGTTTCTGCTCTTCAGACCCAAACTTCAAAACTGGTCCTAGATAGAGCGACTGAAGGAGGAAAAAAAAAGGGTCCCTGTAAATCTGCTTTTGGGACTGTGCCACAGGGGGTGAGGTGGGCTGTCGGAGAAGGACCATCCGTGGTACCCACGTTGTTGACGCTCATGATGACGCCGGTGGACGCGCAGCCGCGGCTGATCTCCTCCAGGGCGACGGTGTAGGCCAAGCAATCCAAGCCAGCTCCTGCGTATTTTTCGGGCACAGCCATCGCTAGGAGCCCCAGGGCCCCCATTTTCTTAATCTAGAAACAGGAGAAATGAGGTTACAAAAGGTAAAAGGTCATTAGTCCCCCGTGGTGGAAACCCAGCAAAGCTTTGTTGATCACATTAGTGGCAGTTGCTGGTGGCACCAATCCAGGATCTACCCTCCAGCTAGAACAGTGTTTCTCAACCTTGACCATTTTAAGGCATGTGGACTTCAATGCTGGCTGTGGAATTCTGGGAGTTGAAGTCCACATGCCTTAAAATTGTCAAGGTTGAGAAACACTGAGCTAGAACATTTATGTCAGGGATGGGCAACTATGGCAACTTTAGGACCTGTGGACTACAACTCCCAGAATTCCTGAGCCAGCCATGCTGGGAGTTGAAGTCCACAGGTCGTAAAATTGCCATAGTCGGCCCAGTTCTGATTTATGCCCTTCCTCGCTTCTCAGAAAGGCTTAGCTCAGATCAAGGACATGCCATGCCAACAAAAATCAGTGCAAAGGGGACACACCTACACCAGCTTCAGAGACAGAAAACAGCCAGTGGCGGCTGGAGAGTTGAGTTCTTCTGTGTAGTTGGGTTTTTCACTTTTAGAAATAAAATGCCTACAGCTCTCAAGGTTAATCGATTAGAAATGTGGAGGGGGGGAAGTGGGGGGGGGGCGGCGGAAAGAGCAGTTAGTCCAGGTGGGGCTCCTGTACCGGAGGGGCCAAGATGCCCAAAGTGTGTTGCAAAATGGAAGGAAGTTTGTCCACAGGAAGCAAATAGAGCTGAAACAAGGGGGAGTCCTCAACTTAACAATCCAAAAGGTCCACTGCTGTGTGAGACGGTTGCTGAGTGTTTGGGCCCCGTTTCACCACCTTCCTTGCCACGATCGTTCAGTGCAATCACTGCAGTTGTTAAGTTGGGTCACAGGGCTTGGAAGGTTGGAAGGTCACAAGAGGGGATCGCGTGACCCCCCACACACCACCCCCACCCCCGGGACGCCGCAGCCCTCCTAAATCTGAACGAAGCCCCTGGACTTGGGGACAAACTCCCCATAACTCCCCTTTTTTTTCCAGTGCCCTTCGACTGGTCACTAAACGAACGGTCGTAAGTCGAGGATTCCAGTCCCTCCGGGCCGAATCCGCACCCGCCCTCCGGAAGCCCCTCGGGGGCGCCGAGAGCGGCCCCCGCGGAGGGTCTGCAGCCGCCCCTTCCCCGCCCGCCCCGCCTGACCTGCTGGTCGGGGAAGCGGTGCTCGCGGTCGAGGCGGGCGGCGAGCGGCGCCAGCTCCTTCGCGGCGAAGTCCCGGCAGGTCTCCCGCAGCATCCGGTGCGTCTCCGGCAGCCCCGCGTGCAGCAGCCGCGCTGGAGGGGAGAGAACGGGAGGAGAGGGGCTCAGAGGCCGCCCGCCGCCCCTGCCAGGTGGGCCGCCCCGGAGCGGAGCAGCGGAGGGCCCCTCCCCGAAGCCCCGCCGACCTCCGCGGGCGGCAAGGACGCCCCGCCGCCCCGCCGAAGCCACCGCCGCCGCCGCCATCGCCGCCTCCGTCGCCGCCCACGGGAGGGCGGGGCCACGGGGACGCGGGGCGGGGCGCTTCCCTAGCCCGGGGCAGGAGGGGCGGGGCCACGGGGGGCTCCTCCTCCGCCTCCCGCGGGGGAGGATTTGCTTCTGTTCCCCCTCCCCTCGGCCTTGAGGGCCGGCTGCTTCTCTCGCTCCAGGGACGGCCTGGAAGGGACCTTGGAGGTCTTCTAGTCCAGCCCCTGCCCTGCCCTAGTAGGAGAATCTACCATCTCAGACAGTGATTGTCTAGCCCAGGGGTAGGCAATCTCGGCTCTTTTAGGACTCGTGGACTTCAACTCCCAGAATTCCCAAGTCAGCACAGCTGACTCGGGAATTCTGGGAGTTGAAGTCCATGAGTCCTAAAAGAGCCGAGGTTGCCTATCCCTGGGCTAGCCTCTTGTTAAAAGCCTCCAGTGACGGAGCGCCTGCAACTTCTGTTCCACTGGTTGATTGTCTTCACTGTCAGGAAGTTTCTCCTTAATTCCAGGTTGCTTCTCTCCTTGATTAGTTTCCAACCATTGTTTCTTCTCCTGCCTTCTGGTGCTTTGGAGAATAGCTTGACCCCTCTTCTTTGTGGCAGCCCCTCAAATACTGGAACACTGCTCTCATGTCTCCCCTGTTTCTTCTTTTCTCTAGAGCAGTGTTTCTCAACCTTGACCATTTTAAGGCATGTGGACTTCAACTCCCAGAATTCCACAGCCAGCAATGCTGGCTGTGGAATTCTGGGAGTTGAAGTCCACATGCCTTAAAATGGTCAAGGTTGAGAAACACTGCGTCTAGAGTCTAGGCTAAGCCAAAACTAATTCCTGCAACCGTTCTTCATATAATGTTGTCTCCAGACCCTTAATCATAGTCGCTCTTCTGCACTCTTTCCAGAATTTCCACATCTTGTTTTATATTGTGGTGACCAAACCTAGATGCAGTGTTCCCAGTGTGGTCTTACTCAGGGTTTATAATGCAGTACTAATACTTCACGTGATTTTGATTCGATGCCTCTGTTACTGCAGCCTAGGATTGTGTTGATGTTTTGGGCTGCCGCCACCCACGGCTGACTCATATTTAACTGATTGTCCACTAGGACCAAAGTCCCTCTCACAGTTACTGTTTTTAAGCCAGGCCTCACCCAATCTGTACTTGTACCTTGAACTTTTCCTGCCTAAATGTAAAACTTTGCTTTTCTCCACATTAAAGTTCATTTTGTTGGATAAGGCCCATTGTTCACGTTTGTCAAGATCTTTTTCAATCCTAAACTTGTCTTCTGGGGTGATGACTATTCCTGCCAATTTGGTATCATCTGCAAACTTGATGAGCTCTCCTTCTATTCCATCTAAGTCATTGATGAAGATGTTGAAGAGTCCTGGGCCTAAGACGGAACCTTGTGGTACCCCACTGCTTACTTCTCTCCATGTGGATGTGGTTTCATTGAGGACTACTCGTTGAGTAGTTTGCCAGCCAGCTACAAATCCATCAGGTGGTGATGCTGTCTATCACACATTTTTTCTAGCCAAGGAATAGGTTGTGGTCTACTTTGTCCAATGCCTTGCTGAAGTCTAAGTACACTACGTCCACAGCATTTCACTGGTCTGCTAATTTAGTCACTTGGCCAAAGAATGAAATAGGATTGGTTTGGCACGATCTGTTTTTAACAGCCCTGTGCTGGCTACTAGTTATGACTTAGTTTCTATTTATAGGAGCATTATTAACTGCTTATTGAGAAAGGCTCCTCTCCCAAGTGATGTGGGATGCTGACATCCTTAGGCTGCATTTCAAAACGCCCCCCTTTCTAGGCTGACAATCCGAATTTACTAAATTCACACCCACTTTATGACACAACACCAGAGTGGAATGTAGGTTTCTTTTTTAATTACTATTGCTTGAGACAAAATAACACTTTATACAAACAAGTCGGCTAGATTACTGCAGATCAAGGAGATATAAAAATGATAGCATGATGGAGCCGATAGTTAAGGAAACCACATGGGGGGGGGCGGGGAAGGGGACTTTCGGAACTTCTGCCATTCTCTGTGGAAAAATACCTCGGCAGAAAATTAGAAAAACTAGGAACCGTTTCCTGTGCATTTCACATTTGCCACACCACGATTCTGTGGGACGGAAGAGCCCCTTTCATGGACACTCTCATGAAGTTTCCATGGCCACAAGATAGGGGTGTGTGTGTGTGCATGTGTGCGTGTGGGGCTTTTGGCCACAGTGCTCAATCCTCTTCCTCCCTTGGAAAATTCATTGCACTGTTGCTCTAAAACCAGTGTTTCTCAACCTTGACCATTTTAAGGCATGTGGACTTCAACTCCCAGAATTCCACAGCCAGCATTGCTGGCTGTGGAATTCTGGGAGTTGAAGTCCACATGCCTTAAAATGGTCAAGGTTGAGAAACACTGCGAGTCTAAACACCCATCTCGTAAGATCATTGCATGCAGAATTCCAGACCCTCCGTGCTGTGGGGAATGCAATTCCCAGACCCTGAATCTGAGGATCAGTCCACATAACTGGAAACTGCCAGCTGTGTGTTGGCCACGAAGGTGGCCGAGGCCACTGCTGAGGGCTGAACGCAGGCAGGTCTCCCCAGAGCTGCTCTTCGCTTTCAAGGGCGGGAGGTGTCGAAAGGGGAGGGGGGCCCCCTTTGGCTTTTCTCCTGAGCTGAAAAAGGAGGAAACGGCCCCACCTCAATTTCATGCCCGTTTTTCCAGCCAGGGGGCAGGTTTAGAAGCCACCCGCTTTCCCACGTCTCCAGTCCCTTTGCAGGGCTCCCGCCTGGATTTCTGATCACGTCCTGCTTTCCCCACTCTTTGCACGCCCCCTTAGTCAGCGTGGCAGAAACACCCACACCCACCCACCCACACTGACCCCTGCATGCCCAACGAGAGTGGCAGAAACATGGCCATGGCACAGCAGAACAGCTCGAGAACTGCAGGGAGGCGCAGAGGCAGCTCCTGTAGGAGCCGAGGGCACGAGAGGGTGACTTTGGATCCTGCACTTTGGCGGCTGGCAATTGCCCAGTGAAGCGCCCCATTTTTCCCCCCACGCCGTTTCCCGCTTATTGCTGGGCAGTCAGTGGCAAGGAAGGCACAGCGGAAAAGTTGCTGGGAGGATGGCAGGGGGAACCGGTTATTGCAAACGGCCCCTGCTTCGGGGCCAGCCCTTCCGAGGCTTCCAGGGCAGAGGAGCTGCCTGGGGACTCCGTGCAGCAGAGGGTAGTTCCAAAGGCACCTGGATTTGACCGTGAGGGATCGGGAAAAGAAAGCCCTTGGAGAAAGGCACTTTGCCAGAGACAGCCCGGGAAGCGTCAACCCACCATTCCCACCACCAGCCCTTCCCCAGACGGCCACGAGAATCTACCCTTTCAAAAAAAAAAAAAAACGGAACTGAATCCTGCACCTGAAGCTCCTCCCAACTAGGAGGTTTAAGCATTGCTCTTTTGGGACTATTCCGTTGCCCCCTGGAGCCCCCCCTTTGGAGACGGACTGCCGTGGGGGGACCCAGGTCCCTCCAGAGAGGCTCCAGCCCTTCTGCCAAAGCAGCATCTAGAGCTGCTTGCCAGAGAAGCCAGCCAGATGTAGCGGAGTCAATTCTCACCTGCAGCCTATTAACCAGAAGCAGGCAATGTTGAGAGGTGGGGCAGGGAAGAGAAAGACTAGGATGGCCCCCACTCCCCAGGGAGAGCTGCTAGGAGAAGCCAGGGGGGCCCCCTTCTGCTCCTCTGGCTGGAGGGCACCACTAATTTTCACCCTACAGATCAGACCTTTAGGGGTTGCGGTTGCTCTAACAGGCCCAGAATAAAACACACTGCGAAGTCCTGCCCTCCCCCCTCCCTCCCCCAGGAGCCTTCTGCAGGCACCTCCCACCTCAGAGATAGAGAAGCAACCTCGATGAACAGGAACATCAGCTCAGGTGCAAAGCAGACCCGGAGGCAGCAGAAGGAGCAGCCGGCACTTGCACAGCTCTCTGGGCTGCAGGATGTGTTAGGGAGGGGATGCTAGCCAAGCTTCATCCATTGGAAGGGCCGCTGCTGGGCTCGTCACCAGACCAGGATGCCAATGGAAGCCAATCACGATGGAGCAAGGAATCGGCGGCCCAGAGAATTCCTTTACTGTCCCAGGAGAGACCCCCCCCCTCCCGCTTTGCATGCCGCTTCCTGAGTCTCGTGGGAAGGAGGAGCAGGACTAGGGCTGCCTCTGGCCTGTGCAACGTCCGCAGGCGGTCATGGAATGGCTACTGCCCGCCATTGTAGGCGTAATCGGCCTTGTTGTGCATGATCAGCTTGTTGTCCACAAAGTAGAAGCTGTCTGAGCGAGTCTCGTAGGGGTTCTCGACCATCAAGTGTACTGCATGGGCAAAAGAGGGGGCAGATGGTCAGCCACAGCCCAGAAACAGCCTGCAGAGGCCACTGACGCCGCCTCTGCAGTGCACACAGCGACCACTCCACACAGCAGCCTGAAAAACTCTGGGGGGTGAGAAACAGTGAGAGGATCTGGGGGTTTCAGGGAAATTAAAGTACGACCGTTTATCTCCCTCAAAACACTGACAGTGGGGTCAATAATGACACCGAAGCAGAGTGCTGTGGAAGAACCATCCAAAGGGCAGAATTTTCTAACTGCTGCTGAGGAATCCGGTGCTCACAGGGAGTCTGTTAGGGAAGGCTGAAGATAGCCCTGCCTCCCTGGGCTGTGGGATTCACCACCTGGTTCAAAGCCTCCCATCCGTGGACGGTCCACCCGACCAGGCCCAAGCGGTACTCACTGAGATCCTCTGAAAGCTGAGGGAACTCGTATATGTGCTCACAGGTGTTCCTGCTGCAGGGGATGCAGAAGCCAAAGTCAAAGTCAAAGTTCTTCAGAAGACGGTCTCTGAAGTAATGCCTCTCGATCATACGGAAGTTGGATACGGGCTTGTCTCCCACGGTGAACTCCACCCTGCGGGGAGGGAAAAGGGCAGGATAAATCCAGCTGGCCTCCTCTAACGTGTCCGGGACAGGAAGGGCCGCTCCAGAGGTCTATCCTGAAGCTATTGAGGCAGCACAAGCCCCCTCAAAGGGCCCAGCTGTCAGCTGACAGGAACACGCAGGCATCGTAACTAGGGTTTCTCTCCTGGTTGTAAAGAAATGTTGGCCTAGGGAAGAGAGACCAAGCATTCCGGTGCAGTTCAACTAAGAATTCAAATTAGTGGAATGATTTTAAAAAAAAAAAAGAATAAACACAGCAGACCTGCATCAAGCAACAGATTTTTTGTCTTTTGATTTTTACAAACTGCAAAATTACAGACTTGGATTTTGAAAGTGTCTTTCATTTTTCAAATACTCGTTTAACATGCTTTTCACCGAGCCTGACTGCGCTTCTGTGACTGGTGCTGAGCAGCCACAGCAGCACCGGGGTCCCTCCCGTCCCCCGAGCTTCTGCCCAGACTCACGTTGCCCCAACAGTCCGTAGGCGCAGGAAGGCCGGCGTGAACTGATAGCGCACAAAACGCCCGGCGCTGCTGTCCATCTCCCCAAGGTCACATTCGTAGTCCTCTTGCTCTGCAGGAATTAACAGTTAAAGAATTCAGCAGGTCAGCTGTGTGGGGCCTCTCACTGGCCTGCCCTTCTGGAAGTGGGGCCACTCCAGGAAGCCCTGCAGCCACAGCCTGCACTTCCAGGTCTCAGCTTTTGCGGCTGCGTCTGCAATACGGCCAGAACCCAGGTCAGGAGCAGGAACCGCAGAACGAGCAACCGAGACAGAATTTCTGAGGCAGCCTATCTGGACCGAGCCAACAAACCATACTTGACTTAGCTTAGGTGGGTGAAGTGTTCGGACCGATGCCTTGGTGGCACCTGGAATAACGGATGGAACCCCTGTTGAAACAGAAGGGACTCCCAGAGAAACCCACTCAAGGAAAAAGATCGTCCCAAGAAGGGTGACAGAGTAAGAGGAAGCACAGATTTGGGGGTTCCACCTTCTAAGTGCAGTTGGAAGCAAAACATCCTTCCTGGAGTTTTTAACTGGTCGTTGGGTCCTGCGTTTCAGAACAGACCCCGTCACTTTACTCCAAAAGCTTACCTAACGTTGAAGGTTTGGCGATTTCAAACAGCACCGTCCCAGTTTCCAGGTCCCGGATTTTAAACTTGGTGAAGTCGATATTGTAGATGTTGTCTTCCGGTCGGCAAAGGTAATCTGGAACAGAGGAAGACAGAAGTGATGCTGAAATGCAATCCTAAAGATTCGGCTAGCAATGCGGAGGCAGCCTGGCCCTGCCCACCAAAAGGGCCTTGGCACACAGGGCAAGCAGGCGCGTTCCCAGCCGCAGCAGACAATAGTAGGAAGTCTCTCCCCAAGACGCCTGGCAAACTCCGTGGCCAAGAGAGGCACCCGATTAAAGGAGAAGAATCCGTGGAAGCATGTAAGACACGGAGACACGCAAGCACTGCAGCAGGAATTCCACTTCCCCCCCCCCAAAAAAATGGATTTAGAACTGAGCAATGTAATTATCAAGCTTGTTAATGGCACCAAATGATTTAGCTAAGACGGGAGAAATTACAACCGGTTGCAACTGGTCAAGAGGGAATTAACCCAAGCAGTCTACCTAAATCTAAGTAAGTGAAACCTAGCTCATGTCAGGACAAAAAAGGCCTGATTTTAAGTACAAAGAATTGTAGATCATAATCTACTTTATCTGACTTTTTTTTTTAGCAGCCTTGTAGTGGAAGAAAAAAAGAGGGAAATAGTAAAACAGAGGACATGTAAGCCAAACTCATTACATAAAAGTCAGGACAAGTATTTTTATGCCTTGTGCCTTTGTAAAGATCAGGAGCCCTTTGTACCAGATAAATCTATCTACTATTCAGATTTACGATCCTTGCTTTAAAGACCATTCGACTTGCAATAGATCTGGAAAAAAGTGAGCTACGACTGCTCCTTGCACCTATGACTGAAGTGTCCCCATGATCATAACCACTTAATGACCATGGCAAAGAAAGGTCATACAATCAGGGACAGCCCACTTAGCAACTGACGTCCTAGTTCCAATTGTGGTCTTGAACATGCAGGCTCTGCCTTCACGATACCACAAAAAGCCTAGTCAGCAGCCTCCCGGCGGGTCTTGTCAACTGACATTCATCGGATCCTTCCTAAACAATAACTACTATTTAGGAAGGATCCAATGAATATCTTTCTTTTCCAATTTTATTTTTATTTATTTATTTACAGGGCTTGTATGGCCACCTACCTTATGCAATGTTTTTAGGCAATCCATAAAACCAAACGTAAAAACACAAGTCTCTTCCCACCCCCCTCCAGCATCTGACCAAACAATCCCCCAGCTCAACCCCAATCGTAGCCTAATGCTGGGACAAGAGCCAGGCCTTCAAAAACTAAAAGGCTTAGGGTGTCTCAGATTGGAGACTATTCAAAAGAGCCACAATGATTAACAGTGAAACTGCGTTGTGGCAGTTGTCACAAAGGTGCTTCCAAAGTCTCTCGTGCACTTGAAACGGTTGGAGTGGCTGAGCTCAGCTCTGTAGCTGCTGGATGGGTGACACCCGATACAAATAATCATATCATGGAATTGAATTTAAAACACTGTTCCAGCAGGGGAGGCAAGAGAAATGGCTACTCAGCCAAACTGTCCATTTAATAACATTTCCGTTCTGGGCACAATCCTGTAGGGGTCCCCCTAGTAATTCAACCAGGCTCTTTGCTGGTGACATCACATTGCAAGATGATATTATGATGGTTACCGTAGGAAGTAATATCGGTATGTTAGATATTGCTGGGGTGGTGGTAGTCAGAACCTCGTTGCCATCAACACCAGCAAGACAGAACAACAGAATAAAGGAGTTGGAAGGACTTTGGAGGTCTTCTAGTCCAACCCCCTGCTTAAGCAGGAGACTCTATCCCATTTCAGACAAATGGTTGTCCAGGGTCTTCTTAACAACCTCCAGTGATGGAGTACCCAGAGCTTCTGGAGGCAAGCCGTTCCATTGATTGTTCTCGCTGTTAGGAAATTTCTCTCCTTGATTAGTTTCCACCCATTCCTTCTTGTCTTGCCTTCAGGTGCTCTGGAGAATAGACTGACGTCCTCTTCTTTGTGGTAGCCCTTCCAATGCTGGCAATCCAGACTGACATGCAAAACCAGGAAGTCTTCATGCAGCTGTCTACCTGCTTGTTTTACGTCAACCAGCAACGAAGCATTATGCAGCAGCAACGGTTGCCGGGGCTCATTAAGAACCCCATCCCTTTCGTGTTCAATCTTGTGAATAAAGCTGAGATCAAGAATATTACAAATCTCAAAGAGGCCACAGTGATGAAACACAGACCTATGGCAATGACTTCTTAAAGGTGTAAGGTTTCAACATGTGCCAGAAAAAAGGTACAGTTGCTGTGGCCAGGCTGCACACTTCTTCAAAGCCTGAAGACAGCTGGTTATCACATTGTCTTCCATGGCCTCGTTGAGACACCTTTTCAGCTTCTGCAAACACTACACAAAGGTTGTGTACAGAATCAAGCGGTCCCTCCTGCTAAGTCGAAAGGCTGATGCAGATGCCACTTCCAGTGCACTAGAAGCGGCATCACAGGTGATGAATGGCTGAGTTATGCTCACTCAGCCATCTTGGTTTCAGGGCGCAGGTTATACCACCCCTGGTATACCTCAAGATCCTTCTGATGAAGCAGACTGAAAGCAAGATGGAGATGCCACTAGCATCTCGTGCCATGTAGTGCAACACCTATGCCATACCATTAATTGCCTCTCTCTCATGGAATTTGAAAACCTTTGTTTTGGATGTGCACAAGGAGTCCAAATGTTTCAAGATGATGACTATTGGCAAGGCAGACTTTGATGCCATTGTGTTGGCGAACAGAACTACATATGGCCCCCCAATTAGCGGCAGGTCATGTACCTTGAATCTGATGGGAACAAATGCAACAGTGTATTGACTGAAGGGAGTTTTACCCCCTCCCCCTTTTAGAGCTCAACTATTTTTGGCTCATTATGATTGCCAAAATAGATCCAGGAAACGGAAAGAGCAGCAAAATGAAAAAAAAAAAAATACAATGCCTTTGGTGTAACACTAAGCAATGGGAAAAAAGAGATACTAGCCAAAGCTGCAATGGATGTCCTATGATCAATTCCCTGGAATTGACAAGTTTGTGCTAATGCAACAGCAGATTGCCTATTGAGACCTTGGAAAAAGTTCAGAGAAGAGCAACTAAGATGATCAAAGGCCTGGAAACGGCTGTAGGACTTGGGTTTAGCTAGTTTAAAGAAAATAAGAAATAGGGGTGACATGATAGCAGTGTTCTAGTATTTGAGCGGCTGCCACAAAGAAGAGGGGGTCAAACTATTCTCCAAAGCACCAGAAGGCAGGATAAGAAACAATGATTGGAAACTGATCAAAGAGAGAAGCAACCTGGAATTAAGGAGAAACTTCCTGACAGTGAGGACAATTTACCAGTGGAACAGATTACCCCCAGAAATCGTGGGCGCTCCATCACTGGAGATTTTAAAAAAGAGACTGGACAGCCATCTGTCTGAGATGATATAGGTTCTCCTGCTTGAGCAGGGGGCTGGACTAGAAGACCTCCAAGGTCCCTTCCAGCTCTGCTCTATTCCCATTTACATCAGGAAAAGGCCAGGAGAGCTGGAACAGACCTGAAGTCGAGCAAGATCCAGCTGAAGCGGATGACCATGGCGGGCAGCATCCTTCGGTTACTAGCCTTAGTGCGGTGGCTGCCCTGACTGGTGGGTGCTGCTGGCATTGCCCCCGTTGTGCAGGACTAGCAAGCAAGGAATGCCGCCAAACTCAATCTTAAATGACACCACTGTGAGTCTGAAGCACAACTGTGCGGGACCCTCAGTCTCCGGGCTGTGGCTAGAGCAGGGAGTCTCCAACCTGGGCCCCCTTTAAGGCTTGTGGACTTCCAACTCCCAGAATTCCCAGACCAGGTCAGGGGTCAAAGGGAACTCACCCTGGTCGAAACCACCTTTCCCTGAAAGATGTGGGGCAGAAGTACCCAACCTGGGCCCCCTTTAAGGCTTGTGGACTTCAACTCCCAGAATTCCCCAGCCAGCGTTGCTGGCTGGGGAATTCTGGGAGTTGAAGTCCACAAGCCTTAAAGGGGCCAAGGCCGGGGAGAGCGCTGGGCCTGAGTGCGAGCCTCGGGGCGGCCTCCATCTTTCCCCACAGAGCGCGAAGGGAAGAAGGGACCCTCCCCCCGTTTCTCGGCGGAGACCACCGCCCGAAGGCCCCGCCCGCCTTCAGGCCCGGAGGGCGCCCCGACGGACTCTAACGCCGACCCTTCGTCGCCCCCAGGGCCCCGGGACGCTCCGGGCGGAGGGCGGCTACTCACGCTCCGTGACGCGGCCGAGTCCCAGGACGTGCTCGGGCCGCACCGCCTCCAGCGCCAGCAGCTCCGCCTCCGTCCGCGGCGGGGCGGCCCGGGACAGCGGTGGCGCCGCGGCGGGAGAGGCCGTCCCGGAGCTCCTCTGCCCGCGCAGGCGGCTCAGCGCCCCGCCGGGCCCGGCCGCCGCCAACCTGGGCTTGGAGCCGCTCATCGCCGGCCCGGCCCCGCCGCCGCCGCTAAGATGGCCGCCGCCTCCTCCTCTCGCTCGGCCCCGCCGGTCGCCATGGCAGCCGAGGGGCGGGGCGCGCGGCCTAGCAACGAGAGGGCGCCGCCCCCAGAAACGGGAGGGCGGGCACGTGGACACGCGCTGTCGCGGTTTGCGGCCACGCCCCCTTTCTCGCGCGGAGCCCGGCCGTCCCGCGCCCGTTGCGTCTCCCGCGTGAGGAAGGGGCGTGGCCGAGGAGCGCCTCGGGCGGGCAACATGCCGCTTGGACAGGGGTAGGCAACCTTGGCTCTTTTGTGACTGGTGGACTTCAACTCCCAGAATTCCTGAGCCAGCATGGCTCAGCTTGAAAACCTCTCCCTTTCCCCTCAGCATGGCTGGCTTAGGAATTCTGGGTATTGAAGTCCATAAGTCCTAAAATTGCCAAGGTCGCCTACCCCAGGTCTACACCTAGGCCGCTTTCTAACTCGTGGACTTCAACTCCCAGAATTCCTGAGCCAGCATGGCTCAGCTTGGAAACCTCTTTCCCCTCAACTGTGGCTGGCTCAGGAATTCTGGGAGTTGAAGTCCACAAGTCATAAAAGAGCCAAGGTTGCCTACCCTTGATCTAAACTCATCAAATCATGATCTAGATCAGGGGTAAGCAACCTTGGCTCTTTTGTGACTCGTGAACTTCAACTCCCAGAATTCCTGAGCCAGCTTGGAAACCTCAGCATGGCTGGCTCAGGAATTCTGGGAGTTGAAGTCCATGAGTCATAAAAGAACCAAGGTTGCCTACCCCTGTGCTTGGAGCCATTTTCTTTGGAGCAGAGTTGCTCTGAAGCGCCTCCCGGAGAAACCAGCCCGGCTGCCTCCGGGGACCGCTGCAACTTGGGCGACCGAGAGCCTCCAGGGACCTTCTGAGCGGCCTCCGACTCCCCGGGTTCCCGACCCGCACGGTGGCTGGGGCATTCTGGGAGTTGAAGTCTGCACAGGTTAAAAGTTGACGAGCCCGAGACTGTGCTAAGTGGGTCCGAGAAGAGAATTTCGCAGAAGGCAGAGCTGCGTGAGTTAAAACACGCCTTGCCAGAAGAGTTTTTTTTAATCCAGGGGTCTTTAAACCTGGCCCTTTTATGACTTGTGGACTTCAATTCCCAGAATTCCTCAGCCAGCATGCCTGCTGAGGAATTCTGGGAGTTGAAGTCCACAAGTCATCAAAGGGCCAAGTTCGAAGACCCCAGTTTTAAACCATTCACCCTGATTTTTGCACTTGGAGGCAACACTATAACTGCCCGCGTGGGAAGGATTCTTTGTTGTTTGTTCCAGGATTTTCACTTAGGTATGAGTTAAAGAGTTTCAAACTGGGACCTTCATCTTTCCACTTTAAAAATAAATACACGGGTTCGTTTAAGTGACAATATAATTTTTATTTTTTTTTAACACACTGCTGGTTAAAACTGCCAGGCAGTAGATTTCAGAATATTTCCCTCAACCAGACATCCTGAGAGAAAAAAAAAAAGAAAAACCAACAAAATTTAAAACAAAAAACAAGTAAATGTACCAAAAATGGGGTGGAGGGAATAATTAATGCAGAACTCATTCATACCTATTTCACTTCCCCAGGGGAAAAAAAATCTTTTGCAAAGCCAATGTAGTTAGACGAAAGTCCTATGTGCTTTTTACCCTTTGCCCAAGCTCAATATTAAGTGCACACCTACACACATCCCAATAACAAAAAGAACCAATGCAAAATATTAAAGACACAGAAGTAAAGGACTTGCACACACCACCCTGCTTCAGAATTATGTATTGAGTTTTAAAGTTATGAATGGCAAACCAGCGTTAAGGACAGATTCCACCCAGCCCTGGAAGCTTGTAACCTGGCAGCATAGGCTGTCGTAGGAGGCCACGTCAATGCCTCTCTAGCAAGCAGGGACACAAACAGAAAAGATAAACATACACAACAGTACAATAAAGGGTGGGGCCTCAATCTTCCGATAGCTGAGACTGCAGCCCTCAAAACCTGCATCTGCCTTGTTAAGTAATAACAAGGATTGTCTCCACTTAAACTTTGATCGTGATTGGGTGACTCCTATTTGCTTAGGACAGTGTTTCTCAACCTTGACCATTTTAAGGCAGGTGGACTTCAACTCCCAGAATTCCACAGCCAGCGATGCTGGCTGTGGAATTCTGGGAGTTGAAGTCCACCTGCCTTAAAATGGTCAAGGTTGAGAAACACTGGCTTAGGAAGTGAAGTTTAAGAGAGGGAGGAAAAAAGTCAGGCCCTTTCCCTGGGGGAATTCAAACATCTCTCAAGGCACTCCCAAAGGCACGCCAAATAATTTCCCACATCTTTAACCAGAGAGTGATCTCTTGGTTCAAGAAACCAACCCAGCCCTGGTCAAATAACAACTTGGAAGCTAAGCACCATTCTCAGATCCCCATCGAGCACAGCTTTGGCGGGGGGGAGGGGGGCAGCCCAAAGGAACACTTCCCTCCTACCTTCCTGGGCTCTTCTGCTTGGAAGAAAGAGGCATTAGGGGCTAGCAGGCGTGGGGTGCCACCAGCTAAGCTCCTGAAGGAAGACGGCATTCCAAGGCCCAGCAGAGATTTTTACCGTTGTGTTGTCTTTGGGGCTTTTCAAAAGCAAGCTACAGTCTAGTGGTGGCAGGGGTAGGCAACCTCGGCTCTTTTATGACTCGTGGCTCAGGAATTCTGGGAGTTGAAGTCCACTTTGAGTCATGAAAGAGCCGAGGTTGCCTACGCCTAGTCTGTTCTAGCGACCTGAAGGTGTTTAGGATAAACACAGTTCTGCACAGCAACAGCCCCAACTCAACAGCCCAACCGTATCAGTTTACTTAGGCTTTCTTTTGGGCAAATTCCAACACCTGATCTTTCCAACTTATACGGGACACGTCGTTCGCGGGTCTTGGCTACCATCCAACGGAATTTTCACCCAATTCATTCCAAGCAGAGCTTTTACCTTTGGAATTCATTGATGAGCCCCCGCCCAACTGTCCAGCCAAAGACCTTTCCCAAGGGTGCTCAAATGGCCTTTTCAAGCTCTTCAAGGTATTTAATCGATGATATCTGATTCATGGGCTTCCTCTTCTAAAGGGCTGCAGTGAAATAGGAGCATTTCTCAACACTGTGTATCTGATGGGACCTCAGGAATTATGAAGCAGCCATTTATTCCCCCTACTGGCTAAGGGAGAGGGCATTATATTTGTGCAAGCAAGATGTAAATGTAGTTCAAAAAAAAAAAAAAAAAAAGGCAGCCGGATACCACTGTGCCCAACCACATAACTAAAGCATGCATCAGCATAAATGAACCCAGAACACTGACCCTTCTCACAACAGGCAGTGGTGGGAACCTTCAGCACCTTTTGGCATCTGGCAGGCAAAGCTTAAACTGCCATTCACTTGCAAGAGATCTCCAGCTTAGGCAGAAGAGCCTCAAGGACCACAGTCCCTAAATGAAGTTGCCACGTTGACCCCAACCCTCTGAATCAAACTGGGCAGCTCACAGCAGTCTTAATATTTTTATAGATCCTAAAAGGGGTAGATGCCCCTCACAAACACAACCAGAGAGCTGTAAAAGCAAAATCTGTGGAAGAGGAGGAGGAGGAAGAAGAAGAGAACAGCTTCTGTTCTGATGTCGAGATGTGCTTTGTGGAAGGCAACTCTGCAAGGATCTTGACAGATCACCTGTTTTTGTTTTTTTTTAATTTTCAGAGTATAGAGGAGGGGTAGGCAACCTCGGCTCTTTTATGACTCGTGGACTTCAACTCCCAGAATTCCTGAGCCAGCTGGGAGTTGAAGTCCATGAGTCACAAAAGAGCCGAGGTTGCCTACCCCTGGTATAGAGGAATGAAAGACCGAACCCTGGCACATGCTCATAGTGTTAAGGGTATCTCAGAGCAGGAAGTGAAGTGTAAAGGGTGACCTTTTCCACTTGCTGCAAGGACTCCAAGGGCCTTCCTCGTGCAAGGTTTCCACAAAACAAAGTCACATTAAAAAAAAAAAGACCTCTTGACACACAAAGCCTGCCAACTCATATCTGAAAAAGTTTAAAAGGCAGAAGCAACAAATACAGATTCAAATGCTGACTTGCCTGCAGTTTCCTTTAAGAAAGAAAATACTAAAATGTCTTGTCACACTCAACATATTCAAATTCTAAGGGAAAACTAGGGCCATGTTCTCTCTGTATAAAAAACCAGGGATAAAGCTGCTCTTATTAGTGAATGACTGGAGCCAAACATTCTTATGATAAAGTAAATTGCCCTTTTTACACTCCAAGACCCAGAAATGCAGAATTTCAGTCATGTTAACCCTATCCACCCATAGCAGAAACAAACCATCTCTTCCTTTAGGAATTTTGAGCTTTCTGAATTGGACAAGATAACCGTAGCAAGTACAATTGTTCAGGAAGGTAATCAGTAACCGTTAGCTTCCTCTGGCCCTGGAGAAAAAAGGGGAATGGGAATGAGGTTGCAATAGCTCACTTGGTCTTCCTCCATCTTCAATTTGTTTGTGGAGGAAACAACACAGTTTTACAATCAAGTGGGACAAATTAGGATATGGGTGAGGCAAGCAGCCTATATGCTGTTCACTTGCAAAATATAAATAAACAGCTACAAGGGCTTTCATTTGAAGATTAAGGATTCAAAAAATGAACAAGATAAAAGCAGCCCCTTGCCCTCATGGCTACGTACCTGAGCTCACGACATCTGCCTGCTTTGAAAAACGGATTCATCTGTCTGGACCTGCAACATCAATAGCTTCCGAATCGAATTCTTCCAAGTTGAAATTCGAAGAATATAAAACTTGGTGATATTACTTCTGGGTAATGTGTGTGAGATAACACAGGTGTGAAATTTCCCTAGCTGTTGCCTTTGCCATATTCTGACAGTGTTTCTCAACCTTGACAATTTTAAGGCATGTGGACTTCAACTCCCAGAATTCCACAGCCAGCATTGCTGGCTGTGGAATTCTGGGAGTTGAAGTCCACATGCCTTAAAATTGTCAAGGTTGAGAAACACTGTGCTAGCAGGTATCAACCATCTCACAGGGCATAACTCAGAAGTCACTTCACCAACGGCAGCCGTGAAAATGGGGACTTTCATCAAACAAAGTTTAGAGCCACGATGAGGAAGAGCAAAGGGGAGCTTTCAGACAGGACTCTTGCAAATCCCTGCCAGCGTTTTCAGCCAAATGGGGTTTATTCTTAATAATAAATTGGGGGGGGGGCATATTACTGTCTAGTAGAAATATATATAAATAAATAAAAAGAATTTACTTTGGGGTGAGATGTCCAAAAAGAAGCCAAATCTGGTCAGGAAGACGATTTTCTGAGCCAGCTGGAGAAAGAGAGCAGCTGACTAAGTTTAATATGTTTACTTGCAGTATGAAAAGAAAAAGCAAACAGTCATTTCCCTGTTGAGATTATAGCTGGAAGGAAACTGGGCAAGTGCCTTAAAATTAAGCACACGGACTGGGAAAACGGGACAGATGACAGGAACACAAACATTAAATATGGCGGCACATCCTGGGCGCAGCGGGGCTCAAGCTGAATATATCAACTGACTGGTTGACAAGTGCAGCCATCTTGCTCTGTGTGCAAAGGCCACTGAGGAAAAATGTCTTCGGCTCTGCCTTTGTTTTGCCCTGATTCCACGATGTAATTATAGCAATGGACAACCAGAAAGCCACATCAAAAGAGACAGAGAGAAATATTCCTTAGAAAGCAGTAAATACTTAGGGAAGATAACAACAGCAGTTTCTGAAGGTTATAGAACAGGGGTTCTCAACCTGGGCAACTTTAAGACTTGTGTGGACTTCAACTCCCAGAATTCCTCAGCCAGCTGTGCTGGCTGAGGAATTCTGGGAGTTGAAGTCCACAAGTCTTAAAGTTGCCCAGGTTGAGAACCCCTGTTATAGATACTCAAGCAACCCTCCTGCCTTCGCTGCAATACAATCTGTGCTCCACGGCAGGAAGCACCGTTTGAGGTCCAGACTGTGCCCACAACAAGAACTGAGAAAGGAATGGCCAGCAGGATCCCTTCGCAGGGCACGCGCCTCTTTCAAAAGTGGCCTTGAAGCTGAGCCTGACAGAACGTTAATGACCGAAGAAGCTCAAAGACAAAACCCCTTTTGAGATTTCCTAGCTCTGGACCTCTTAAGCAGAAAAAAGGAGACGCCACCTTGGACTGTGGGAAGTCTCCAGGCACAAGAAAAATGGAAGGCCAACAAGGAAGCTTCCGACATGCCTATTGGGAGTGCCAGCTTCTACCAGTCAGATTTTAGCCACCTAACGTGGAATGGGAAGAGGAGTTAAGAGTGGAATCATAGCATTTGGGAGGATGGGATGGGGGAGAGAAACTAGATTAAAGTTACACCGGGGGTGGGGGGGGGATGAGAGGGAATGCTCCAAAGACAACTCAACACTTGCCAGAATTGTCACGACCAGGGGAAGCACTTGCCTGAAAGTAAAATCTTCTCAGAACGCCTGGCAGAGCAGGTGACCTAGGTTACCTGCTCAACCTGTCCCATAACCAAAAAGCAGGTTGACCAAAGATCAATCCGTAAAGGTGAGTCTCCTCATTCAGGGGAGAAAAGAAGTACCGTGTGTTCAGCTACAAATGTTCTAGCGGATGTCTACCCAACCCCCACCTCCACACCCGTGAATCCTTCCAGCAAGGTTGCTCAGTGGCCGCTTTCCTTTCCAGGCAACCTTTGGATCGCGTGTCTCTCCTCCCGCCCCTTTGGACTCCATCTTGCTCGTCACAGGAATCACTGCCCCCAAGATCCAGGTTCTGCTTCAAGACCTTCTGGACAGGAAAGGTGCCTGTTGCTGGCCCACAGCTGGCCAAGACCCAAAGTTCTGCTGAGGGGGATGCAAACTCTCCCTTAATTGTACCTGCTGCTCCTTAAGAAGCCATTATTTTCCTTAAATACGGAGAAGCCAGGACTGACTCCACATTCGGCCCAACTCCTCGTCCCTGGCTTGCAGGCCACTGTGCTTGCTGTCTTTTTTCACAACCTGCAAAGGCAGAATAGGGTTGGAATGAAGACGCCAAAGGCCACTAAGATTGGGAACATGAGGCTGCTGTTGTCCGAGGCATAGGGGTTTGGTGTGCGGGGGCCTGACTGGACCCGGTTCTTATTGGCCTGCTTTTTAGGGCTGGACCCGTCTTCGTACTCCTCTTCATCTTCCTCCTCCTCTTTCTTCTCCAGGCCTGGGTGAGGCTGAAGCTTTGGAACATCTGTAGAAAGAAGAAAAACAATGTCTACACCATGGTGTAAAGTAGAGAGACTGCAGGGAGGCAAGGAGCATTTTCCTAAATCCTAAAACCAGGAATAGGCATCCTTGGCTCTTTTATGACTCGTGGACTTCAACTCCCAGAATTCCTGAGCCAGCCACGCTGAGGGGAAAGGGAGAGGTTTCCAAGGTGAGCCATGCTGGCTCAGGAATTCTGGGAGTTGAAGTCCACGAGTCATAAAAGAGCCAAGGTTGTCTACCCCTGCCCTAAACCATTACGATTCAAAGCTGTAGGTAAGATGCTTAATGCACATACAAAACCTTATCCAGGCCAATGTAGAATCACACCAAGGCTACACATGAACATGTTGGCCTCTCCATAAGATGCAACAGGTTAGCATTTTCAGCCCATTACAAACTCCCCATTTTTTTTTTTCCCTGGAGGGCAAGACTGGGGCAGCAGCCCAGGGCATAGAGAAACCTGACCCCATGTGGCCCTATTCCCTCCCATTTCCTGTGGATGTTCCCAACAGTCAAGTGGGCTGACACAGGTCAGAACAGTCAGAGTACTGCAGCCAGACCCCTGCCCACGCGATCTCCTCTACAATCCAAAATAGATCAGCCAATTGGGAATGACACCACGACCCCCAGATGGCAACCCCCAACTTCCCTGCTCCAGAAGTTCTCTGGCTCAGCATGGCGACACATTCAGTTTGTCTACAGACTGTTGTCTCCTGCAGCCGGGCTTGACCGCAGCTGGAGAAACTTAGTAAAACTGTTGCAGGTAAGGTAAGAGGAGTTCCTTTCTGCTCAACTGGACTGAGAATACGGGGTTACATCCACCTCTTCAGCCAGAAGGCTTGAGACATTTTCCTTACTCCTGTGGGAAAACCCTTCCTTAGGTTTTCAGCACTGGCTGAGCCTAGTTTACTAAACAGTTACTAAGAAGAAGAAAAAAACCTTTCCACTGGCCGGAAACACAGGCAAAAGGAAGAACAACACGTAGCACCTACAAAGGAAAAGTTAATGTTTAAACCCTTAAAACCTCCTAGAACCATTTCTGATGCTATTTTTTTGTTTAGCAGTGCGGGACTCTGTCAATGCTGCTAACATCGGATGTTCTTGCTTGACAATATCTAAAGATGCAGACATTTCCTATTTAACCTGTGTATTACTTTTAGAGTTAAAAGAGATGGTGTTGGAGGGGAAGAATGTGCTGGGGACTAGTTAGCCATAACAATATCTCAGTAGGGTATTCTTCAAGGTTAGTTGTAATAAGAGGAGGTAACCAGAGGGAAAGTTCACACTTCAAACTAATTGGAGAATGTGATTAATGACTGTTAAATGAAGGAGTGAGTTATGCTTTGGTTCTGTGTGTTAGGGGAGGAGAATTCAGATTTTGGCTTCTCTATGTACGTGCTGAAGCTTCGCTGCAAATTAAAGGTTCTTTGAGGTAAAACAATGCCTCAAGGTTCTTTGAACAGCTTCTTCTTTCGGAACCATGACAGACTAATTCCTACCTTCTGGGGACCCTGAAGGTATTGAAAGATAACTCCAGTTACTGTTATCAGAATTGTATTGTCACTCAGCCCACACTTGGGCCCGCTTTGCTCTCTAGGGGGTGGGGGTGGAGGGGAGAGACCAATAATTACTATTGGTAGCAATATGAAAATAATTCAATCCTTAAGTTTTAATCACCATATGAAGACATTACTTCATCTTTTCTTTTTCAGAACAGAGACTCTCAAAAACAAGTAACAATGACCAACCTGTCTCTTAAAATCAGGTTTTCCATTTAGACAATATTATTTCTCTGCTGCGCTCCAGGCTTGACAGAACTAAAAGCCCTTCCTGAGGTGACAAATCCTACGTTTTAACCAACTGAGTTCAATATCACCTTCAGCTCCTTAAATTATGATAGTGCTGGGTGATCTAAGCTGCCCTTTGGACAGGATCGCTGTCCTTCGCCTGGGTGTTCAAAGAGGAAAAGGGGAGACAAAGGAATTACTCACCATCCGCTGTTCCTGCCAGGACATACAGCGCACAGATTTTTGGATTATCATAGTACCCCTGTGGGAAGCAACAGAGAGTTGAATTCCTTCGTTATCATTTGCTTCTTTGGAAGAGCCCATTTCTAACAACTGTTCAGGTTCGGGGTTGCCCCTTATGGCAGCTCTGGAGAAAAAGTCCCCAGCTTAGGCTCTCAGTGGTTGTTGCCAGCCCACACAGTTGCCCAGAAGTGAGCAACTGTGGAAGAAAGTGAATTGGGATTCCCACCCAGCTGCCTGTTGCACTTTTTTAAGTACATGCTGCTGGACTGCAAGACGATCCAACCGGTCAATCCTGGAGGAGATCAACCCCGACTGCTCTTTAGAAGGCCAGATCCTGAAGTTGAAACTCAAGTCCTTTGGCCACCTAATGAGAAGGAAGGACTCCCTGGAGAAGAGCCTGATGTTGGGAAAGATGGAGGGCAAGAGAAGAAGGGGACGAGAGAGAAGGAGGGGGCTGGATGGAATCACGGAAGCAGTAGGCATGAGCTTCTATGGACTCCAGAAGATGGTAGAGGACAGGAAGGCCTGGAGGAACGTTGTCCATGGGGTCGCGATGGGTCGGACACGACTTCGCAATAAATAACAAGTCCTTGACTTACAACCATTTGTTTAGTGACCATTTGAAGTTACAATGGCACCAATGGTGGGATTCAGCCGGTTCGCACCAGTTTGGCAGAACCGGTAGCTAATTCTTTGGTGCCCAGGCCCAGAATGGACTTCCTGAAGCGGCATCCACACAGAGAACCGGTTGTTCACATATTTGATGGCAGTGAAAAAAGTAACTTATGACCGGTATATGCACGCTGAGAACGTCTGCACCAGAGACAACTTCCTTGTGTGTCCAACCGCTTTTGGCCAACAAAGAACCCTATTCTGTTGTATTCTATTTTCACACTTACCACAACTGCGGCATCCCCGTGGCCAGGTGGTCAAAATCCAGGCGCTTGGCAATTGGCATGCATCCATGGCAGCCACACAGTCCCAGGGTCATATGATCATCACTTCCAACCTTCCCATCCAAGAAAGTCAATGGGGGGGGGGAAGCCTGATTTGCTTAATGACCAAATGATTCACTTAACAACTCTGGCAAAAAGTTTGTAAAATGGGACAAAACACACTTTCTGTTGCTTCGCCACAGAAACTTTGGGCTCAGCTGTGGCCATAAACCGAGGAACACCTGTACTAAACTGACCTCCCAGGCTTCCCTCAGGCCAAGCCCGCAAATATTTCACCCTCCATGGAGTGAGATTCAGGCTGGATGTGCGTTTAGCTGTCCCGTTAGTGCAAAATAAATAAGTAAAATTGATGCACCCAAGCAAACCCCACTGTTTTATTAAAAGAGCTGCAGTCTGCTTTTCAACTGGATGATTATCAAGAAAACTGACAATATATCATGACCTTCATGTGTGCGTGTGCTCGTCCACGTTCATCCACATACCCAGGAGACCATAATGTCTTGGCCATCCCAGGAACAAAGTTAGTCTTAATGCAGCTTTGC